TTGCCTGGCATGTACCATGAGCTCAGTGAATACTTGGTTATTGAGAACACCTTAGTCCCTGATGCCAGGCAACTCTGTAGGCAGATCATCCTGTCCTCGTATGACAGGTATGACAGAGGCTCGAGGAGGGCCAGTGGCTGTCCCAGGCCACCCAGCTAGTATAAGCTAAAGCCAGGGTAGAACCGAGGTCTCTCTTTGGGGGAGGGGCTAAGAAGCGCCTGTGGGCTGAACCCCGGGTGAGCAGGGTCAGGAGGGTGTGGGAAGTCGGGGAAGGCTTCAGGGAGGACAGCACCTCCAAGGACAGAGTGGGGGGCAGGGTCCTCCGCCCCCACCAGCTTCTTTGTCCTAGGCTGAGCTGTGACCTCAGAAGACTTTATTCACGTCGTAATTGTGTGCAGCTGGTCTCCTCTGGCCCTAATGAGCTCATTATCCTCTCTCATTAAGGAGGCCATTGTGGCTTGGTCACCCTGGGGACAGCAACGGCCTGGGAGTGCCCACCACTTCCTGCTACCCTCAGCTAGGCTCAGCCCCCTCCTGGAGCGACTAAGGCCCCCGGCGCGTCACCCGGGTCATTCATCCTCTTTCTCCTTCCTCTTCCCCCTCTCAGTTTCTACCCGTCCCATCCCTCCACCTGTGTCCGCAGTGGGCAGCCCTAACTCGGAAGCCTAGTCACAGTCGTTCTGAGAGGGCTTTGATGTTGGCCAAGCAGCTGGAGGTTGTGCTCAGCCTGGACAGAGAGGGTCTGGCTTCCGGGCCTGAGCTTTTTTCTCTGGGGGCCGGGCGGACGCTCTTCCCTACCGGGGTGGGGGTGCTGGCCGGGCCGCCCCAGCATTGCCTCCTCTTTCCTTGGCGCCTGGGCCGTGGCGAAGCGGGCTCCTCTGGAGGCCCAGGGAGCAGAGCTGGCTGCCGTGACAGGTGCTGCTGCTGCTCTTTCTGGGCCTCTGCCTCCTGGAAGGGGCTGGGCCGTGGCCCGTCGGCCAGCCTGGCTAGATGACATTCTCCTTCGGGCACTGCAGAGACACGGCCCTCACAGGAGGAGAGGCCAGAGGAGGCAGCTTTCAGTGGGTTGGCCGGTTTGGGATTCTCCCTGAGGATTTCCCCGGTCTAGGACTTAACCCCCAAAACCAGGCCCAGACCCCACAATGTAGGTTTCTCCTGCATGTCCAGCAGCGTAGGCGCCCCTCTCCTGCCTTCTCTGGAGGCCGGGCATCTCAGCATATGGGCAGCCCAGGTGGGAAGACCTGCTTGACCGTGGCTGCAGGCCAGGCTGCAGGGCTGTGTGGGGGGATCTCCCAGCAAGCTCACATTTGCGGTCACGTATCAGCTGAGGAAAGAGCAAGCCGTGCTGCAAAAGCAGTGACTTCCATGCTCCTGGAGCCCCTGAAGGCAGCCCCACACCCCAGAGGTTAGACGGACTGCAGGGGCACGCACACACCCAGGCCAGCTCACCGAGCCACACTGAGGACTGCTGACACCGGCCTCAGGCACAGACACCAGCTGGCCACCCCTGGGTGCTGACTCAGTCCAGGAGAATACCAGCCACCACCACGCTGATAGTAGTGCGAGGTTTTTGAGCTCCTACTCTGTGCTAGGCCCCAAGCGGAGCTACTTTTATCTTCTTTATTCACTGCCACACGCTGGCTTCATTAATTACTCCCTTACCAGACAGGGGAGACTGAGGCTCAGAGAAATTTAGTAATTTGTCCATAATCACACAGCTAGGAAGTAGCGAGCCAGGGCCTGAATTTGAATTGTTCCCCCCACAGATTCCTAACTTTTCCCCTCCACCCCCAGAGGACTCTCACCCACATACACACGCGCACACTGAGGTTCACACAGCCCTGCATCTCTGCTCACAGCACACACACACACACACACACAGCACATGCCCACTCACAGACAAGCACACATATAAAGTATCAACATTCCGGGACATGCCTTCTCAAGGAACCGCCCTACCCTCGTGCATGCAGCAGATGCGTACCTTGTCCCCTTCTATGCTGGTTAAGACTCCGGGCCCTGCAGCCAGACTGCTCGAGCTAAAATCTGGCGCTGCCTCTTCCTAATTGTCATCTCTCTCCACCTTAGTTTACTCAGCTGTAAAATGGGGATGATGGCGACAGGAACACTTAGTTCACAAAATTCTTACAGATGAAATACAGTGTTGCATGTAAAACCAGTGCTGGTCCCCAAGTGCTCTTCTCAGTGTCTGGCCATCATCGTCACATATATCAAATGCACAGACACACCTCTGTTCCAGGCGTGTGTGCATATGTACACTGGCATAAGCCACCTCCCACATTCTCAGGAATACATAGCCATGCCCATACCCCCCCCACACACGCCCACACACTCTCAGCCTCTGCAGGAAAGGACCCCCCATGCACCGGAGGTGAGCCTGGCAGGCCCACAGGGCTGGCTGACGCCTGACGTCTCTGGCCAGCCAGGCCACGCCCCAGGACTCAGGCTGGAGTTGGTTCTCACTGGAATAGCAGTGACTTTGGTCAGGAGCCCTGGTTGCAGCAACTGACGTCTGAGCTGCTGGCATCTGGCACGGGCCTGTCAGCAGCCCTGGATGGGTGCAGCCCCGGGAGTGCCTCCCCCAGAGGCCTCCCCCACAGACACATGCCAAAGCACCCCGGAGGTCTGTGTGGAGCTGGGGCAAATGCTTCTGCCCATGTGTGCCTGTTACCACCTGGGCAGTTTTCGAGCTTGTCCATCTTGGCTCAGTGAAGGTGCCCACAGCCAAGCCAGCAGCAAGTGGCAGGAGGTTTAAGTCCACACAGCCGGGCTCTGTACATTTGAAGGCTGGAGTAGAAGGAGCCCAGGCCAGTGTTCTCAGGCAAGGTCGGCAGGGACCACCGGTCCTTGAGGATGATGAGGGTCTCAGTCCCTTGGGGGTACGGCGTGATCCTAAGTTGCTGCTCTGGGGTAGGGAGATACTCACCGTTGGCTGGTAATGTGGGCTCCCAGGCTCCCTAGAAGTTTCTGATGCGGCGAAGATTTTGAGGCGGGAAGGACCCAGAGACTGCCCTGGCACATCCGTGGGGCTCCCGGGCAGGTGAGGCGCACAGTGTCACGCCACCCTGCCCATCGGGCACCTCAGCACCACTCAGCCCCCCAGCAAGTCTCCGCCTGTTCCAGGACTCCCATTTGGGTTCTGCAGAAGAACACCAGGGGCTCAGGCTGATGCTTCTTGGCAGAAACTGTGGGAGTTCCTGAAAGTGCTCCCCCAGAGGCTGAGAGAAGCGGGGAGGACATACCAGGCAGAGACCCCTGCAAAGTCCATGCCTTCTGGCTTCCTAGGAAATTGTCCGAGCCGCAGCCACACCGTGGTGGCCTGGGCCTCAGGGAGAATGGCCAGGCTGACCTAGGCAGCCCTCTCCATGGCTCCATGACTGGTAGGCCCAGAGTGTGCAAGTGGTGGTGGGTACAGTGAAGGCGGCCCCCACCACCCCATGTGGGTGAAGACAAGGAAATTGACCTGAATCTGGCCGAGAGGGGAGGGAGGCATCTACCTCAGGTTCCAGAGGGTGGTGACGCAGCTAAGGCCCTGTGCCAAATAGGCCTGGGCCTCCAGAGTCCAAACCCCTCATCTAGGGATTTTTTTCTTTTTATCTTTTTACTTTGGCTTGTTAGAGCAGTTTCAGGTTCACAGCAAAATCGAGCATAAGGTACAGAGCTACATATCCTCACACATGCAGAGACACCCCCCCCCCAGCATCCACATTCCCATCCGCCCGGTGCATTGTTACTACTGATGAACGTGGATTGACACACCCTAACCACCCAGGTTAGGTTTACCTCCGGGGTCATCGGGCTGCACCTTCTGTGGGTATGGACCAACACACAGCGGCGTGTATCCATCCTTATGGTGTCGTGCAGATGCCCCCGTGTCTCAAGGGCTTTGCAGAGCTGCGAACAGTTGAGTCCCCAGGAAGGGTGGGTGCAGAGGGCACTCAGGACTAGGTCACAGGCTGTTTGCTGTCCCAGGCCCGTCGCTCAGGGCAGTGCGGTCCTAGCTGAAGACCTAGGAGATGACCCTGGGTTCCGAGCCCTGGGCAGTGTTTTCCTCTGTCCCTCTCCACTGGCGTCCTGGCAGCCCTCAGGCGGCCTCCTGCACCTCCCGGGGCCGAGCCCAGCCCGGAGCGCCTGGGAAGCCCCCAGGGGCAGCCCTGGGTCTCCTGACAAAGAATGGTGCAGGTTTGGAATTGGCGAGCTCTGTCATGGGCAGGAAAGAACTGGTGCCAGATTGCCTTGGGGACAGAGAAGGATCAGAATGGGATGGGGGTGAAGACAGGACCCCGTGAAGAGTACCCACTAGGAAGGGATGGAGGCATGTAGCAGACGTGTAAGACCTGCTCAGACTGCTTTGCTAAGTCAACGTTTGTTTGAATGATGAATGAACGAACCAATGAATGAAAAGAGACAATGAACAAGCCCTTATCATTCGGCCATGACCGTCAAGGGTCACTCCAGGGCGCAGTGCCCACTTACTGTGATTGAAGTGTCAACACACTTAAGGGCAGCTGCGAGTAGCACAGATGTGGGGATGCCGCTGACCCGTGATGGGGAAAGGGGACAGTGGCTGTGGGAGGCGTCCGTGAGGCATGTGTCTTGATGCCTTTGAAGCAGAGAAAGTGCTTGACTCCAGGCACACTGGTGGTCCTAACTCACAGGCCCTAAATGGGCCGTGTTTGGTCTTTCCGACAAGGTGGCTTTCATACACTGGATGTATTATTGTTCCCGTTTTTAAATTTTTTCATCAAACACTTGTGGCAGTATGCATCGCAGCCCATCAGGCCCTCTGCTCGGGGAGCGTGTTGGCCTGTCTCTTCCTCCTTAGGCAAGCGCAGGCTCCTGGAGGCTGGACGAGGGCCAGGCATTTGCCAGGCTTCTGGGCTGACAGGATGTGCGCCTTCCCCTCCTCATCTAGGCCCCCACTACCTCCGCCAGCTTCTGGGTTCTCATGGCCCTGTTCTCTCTCGTCCCCTCTGCAGGCTGGTGGTTCGTGAGCACCTCTGAGGAACAGGGCTGGGTCCCTGCCACCTACCTGGAGGCCCAGAATGGCACTCGAGACGACTCAGACATCAACACCTCCAAGACTGGGGAAGGTGAGGGCCTGCAGACTGCGGGGTGATGGGTAATGAAGCAGGTTCAGGGAGCTGGCTGACCCTGGGATCCCCATCCCTGGCCCAGGAATGAGTCCCCCTCCTCTTGGAGACAGCTTCCTCACTCTTCTCCCTAAAACCAGCAGAACCCCTGAAGAGGGCTGGGCCACGCTAAACCCCTTCTCTCTCTGTCCAACTCGCAGGCTCCCCGCCTATCCCAGATCTGCCCCTGCTGGCCCCCATGTGGGGCTAAAATTAACGGGGAAATCCCCTTGGGGTGTGCATGTCAGAGTTCGGCACCACTGGGGTAGAGACTGCAAAGGAGAATCTTGGGGCTAGACTCCTGAAGCCCTAAGTTTCTCTGGGGGACCCACAGAAACGCACCCTTGCCTGCCCCACCGCACTGTGCTCCCTGCGCAAGGCCAGCCCCGAGGGGCTGTGTGCATTGCACCTGAGTCTAGCTGAGGGCGCAGACACGGAGCATAAGCCTGCGAGTCTCTGCTCAGTGCTGCAGTCTCCAAGGGGTGGCTTCAGCCTCTGCACCATCAGCCTGTCTGATTGACTCTGGTCCAGTGTGGCTTTTCTGGGTCTTCCTAGTTGCATTTCACGGAGCCTGCCCCCGGGCCAGCCCTGGTCTGGGCAGCGTGTCCGTGGACTCAGGTATTCCCCAGAGCAGGCTGCCAGAGCCCAGCGAGTATGAGGCACCCCTCGTTCCCGGCTGCCTGCTCCTAATGACTTCCAAACCTCCCGTGTCCTGGCAACAGGAGCGCCTTCCCTAACGGTCAGTGGTGACTGTCCAAATGGGCATGTCTGAGAGCCAGGGATGGAGGCCTGCCACCTGGGGCTCAGGCCACCTCCAGGCCAGCCCCACCCCCTCTTCCCCATCGCACGGGCCAAAATAAGCAGCCTGCCAAGAGCCAGCTTCATGTTCATCCTTCCCCTAAATAAATGTCCGTTGCTTGGCAGGCAGTGGGAGCCCCACCCTTGCTCCTGTAATGCTTCACTTCAGTCCCTCGACCAGAACTACAGTCCCTGCAGAGCTAGTCCACCTTGTGACAGGTTTCCAGGGACCAGCCCCCATCAGGACGGGCTCACGCGTTCAGGCCAGGTGCTCAGTCCTCCCTGGCTGTTTCCTAAGCCCTGGGGCTCAGCCTGCATCCCGTCTCACCTCTGCTTCCATTGCACTTCTGCAGCAGTGGAGGCTCTTGGCCCCTGAGCCGGGTCTGGTCTAGTTTGTCTGCAGTCACCAGGCCTCAACCCCTACCCAGGGCCTCTCAGAATTAACAGCCCCTCAAGTGTCCTGAGGTCTCGTTCACTCTAGGTGTTTGGCCAGTGCTTTATATGCCTTCTCCACTGCCCCGGGAGGATGCTGTTGGGATCCATCCCACTTTCCTGATGCTGGAACTGAGGCTTCGAGAGGGTTAGTTGCGTGCTTGTCTTCGTGAGGCCTTGGCCCTGGTTGGCCCGCTTTGCCCCATGGTCCTCAGCAATGGGCCACATGCCTCTCCAAGGAGCATTTTGCTTGTAAGCCGCTCTAGGAGGGTGTGCATGTGGCATCGGAGCCTGTCTGGAAAGACCGTGCCAAGAGTGTCAGCGTGGAGATTTGGGTGTGTGGTGGAGGAACAGTATGCCGGTCCAGGGCAGGAAAGAGCCTGAGCTGTGTGTGGACGCAGACACCAGCCTGGCTGGAAGGGGGTGCGGTGCTTGGCACAGAACAAGCAGTAGCAAGTTGTAGAGGCTTTGACTTTGACAAAGAATCAGGCGGCCAGTTGCACGTTCTGCATTCAGAGGGTGTGTGTGTGCATGCACCCAGGGTGACCCTCCTTAAAACAGGGTGTTGTGCATGTTTTTGGTGGGACCTGTGTGCCAGTACTCCTGGCAACATTTGGGCAGCTGCGAATGCCAGCACCATGAATCTGGGCATCTTCACCAGCTTTACAGAAGGCTTCCGTGCCCAGTGCCCTGTCAGCAGACCCAGGGCTTCACCTGGACTGTGGTGGAGACCGCCCACCCTGGTCCCCTCTCCGGCCACCTCCACACCAGCCCCGTTGCCATCCCATCCTAGGTCCCCTGAGCCTTGTGGACAGAAATCCCATCAGACCTCCCCTAACAGCTCATGCCAGCAAAGCCCCTCCCAGCCTGGTCTCACCCAGGACCCGACACATCCCACAGGGCCCACCCAGTCTCTTACCTTATTTCTCGCCAGGGCAGGTGGTATCAACCCCAATGGCAGACAAGGAAACAGAGGCTCAGAGAGGGACAGCGGCCCACCCAGGGTGACAGAGCAACCTGGCAGAGGGGCCTGGACTGAACCCACACCCCGTAACCTTTCATCCAGGCCTCCTGCTTGCAAGAAGCAGGTCAAACAGGCTGCTGTCCTCCTTCCAGGAAAGCAAACTCTTCCCAGGCAGCTTTGGCGGCACTTGGCTCGGGTGTTCCCGGGCAGTTTCGCTGTGACTCTAGCTGCCAGCCTGCCTTCCCCAGAGCTGGGCAGCCTAGCACCCTCCCCGACAGCACCATTTCAAGCTCGAGTCCTGGTCTGGTGTCTGTGCTGCCAGACGTCCCATAGGAAGGCAGGGGGCATCTGGAGCTGGGCCAGAGCGACCAGATGACCAGCGCAGGGAGCCGCCCCAGGGTGGGTGGCCTGGACGAAAGGGCTCTGGAGCAGCGAGAAGCCGGGGAGGCAGGAATCCGAATGGAGACGGAGCAGAGCCAGGGCCCGTGGCCCCTGCCCCTGCCCACGTGTGCACCTCCCTCGCCCTGTGTCTCAGGGGTCAGCCGTGTGCGGGGCCTCGAGGTGGGCCCTGGGCGTGCAGAGACCCAGCCTTTGCCCTCAACAGACTCCATCCCGTGGGAGTCACTGTGAAAGTGGGTCACTGTATATGCAGAACCGTGAGAGCTATAAGCCCCACAAGGAAGGGACCCCGGGTGTCCCCTGGGCACGTGTGTTCTTCCACACACGGTGCCTGGCGCGCAGTGGCAGGTTCACTAGCAGGACTCGGTGAGTGCGTGGGTGGTGGGGCGGGGAGCCCCAGTCCGATGCGGCCCCTCATCACCCCGGAACCAGCGCTGCCCAGCGGTGGTGGGGGCAGCAGCCTCTCCCTGGGGCTGCAGCAGAGGGCCCTCCTTGCACTGGCCAGAGCCAAGGGCCCTCTTCACCTCCCAGGCGCTGGGATTCTAGAGTCTCAGCCTGTCCCTGGCTCGGGGACGTGCCCTTCAGCTTTGGTTGAACTTTTCCCCACACGCCCTTGGTGTCGCTAGTCAGAGGTGCCCCACCCATCAGGCGTGTGCCGCGACCTGGGAGTGGGGACCGCCCCTCCCGCCATCCGCCATCCGCCCCTGCCCCATCCCATCTCATCCCATCTCATCTCCATCTCCATTCTCTCCGCCGGTGCCTGTCGGCCACGTGTCTCATCGTCACCTCCCACACCAGTGTCCAAGAGACGCAAGGCCCATCTGCGGCGCCTGGATCGCCGGTGGACCCTGGGCGGGATGGTCAACAGGCAGCACAGCCGAGGTGACCGCGGGGGCCAGCTTCTCCTCACCTGCAGCCACTGCCTCTTGCTCCCTCTCTCACTAACACCTCTCCTCCTCTCCGGGCCCTGCCCTATGACCTCCTCACCCAGACCCGCTGCCCAGACTTTTCTCTCGCCTGCTGCAGCTTGGGGTGGGGGCGGGGGGCGGGCACAGGGTCTGCTTGGGAATTGGGATGGCACTTGGAGGTGGCTCTGGCTTCTGCCAATGTCCTAGGGATGGGGGTCCTGGGACCTAAGATACAGTTGTGGGAGCAGCTGGGCTCGATGAAAGACCACACTTGCCCTCGGAGCTGCAGGTTCAGAGAACTGTGTGTTTCTGAATCTCTCCATGGGGCATGACACACACTGTCTCTCACCCGCTCACCTCATCGCCTTCCTGCTCTGAGCAGGCGCCTCCTCGGCCAGAGCTGACCCAGCATTGCTCAGGGACAGAACAGGAGGGAGGGCCAGCCCACGGCCCATCTCCATCAGCCAGCTCCCAGGAAACCAGAAAGGGTCAAGGGCCAGACCCAGCCTGGCCCCTGTGATGGGGGCGTCAGGCCCAGCCAGGAGCCCCCAGCATCTCCAGCACTAGCCACAGGGACTTGGAGTGGTGGGTGGGGAGGCTGCTGACCAAGAGGATTCCAGGGAAACCCCTGGGGTGCCAGGCAGGCTGGTCGGGAACCAAGACATTTGCAGGTTCGGGGCCTTTCTAACATCCAGGAGCTTGCGACACAGTGGGTGGGAGCCTCTGAACAAACCCCTACACGTCTCCACACCCCCGGCCCTGGGTGGCCATTTCCTCCCGCCTCGGGGAGTGGCAGCACAGCTGAGGGGGTGGTGACAAGCACTGGCCTCTCTGGAATGGCAGGGGTGCCCTGTGACTTGCACTCCCCCCCAAAGCTTATTCCTGAACCATTCCATAAGACCATTGTTGGTATCTGCCCCCAAGCCCCAGGCAGCAGGAAGTCTGGACTCTGGTGGCCACTGCCTGTGGCCGGCTTAGTGTCGGACTCAGAGCCCTGGCCCTGAGGAGCCCAGCTTGTCCTGAGGATGGAGTGTGTGTCGGACCCTGGAGGCCAGCACAGGACAGGGGGCCGAACTGCGGAAATAGCAGGAACAGGGAATGTAAAGCAAAAGCACCCTGCAGCCAGGACAGGTAGGACAGCATTGCTGTGGGACTGTGCTGGGACACAGCCCCAGGCCTTGGTGGCAGAGGACAGTGGGACACCGGCCTGGAAAAAGCAGCAGGGAGGAGGGCTCACCCTTCCCCACCCATTCCAGCATCTGAGCCCCAACACCAGCTCTGTCTCCACAACCACATGGACACGTGCCACCAGCAAAGTGGCCCCCCATGCACAGCCCTGATGGCCACAGCACGCTGTCACATCCCACCTCACAGATGCACACGCAGGGATCCACTGTCCCACCTACACAGCCACACAGGGACAGTCACAAATAGCATGCACACCAGCTGCTCACAACCACACAGCCAGCTCTGCAGCAGTGCAAGTACACACATGGCTTCACAGAGGCTCCTACACGCGACCCCCTACCACACACACATGAACACATGTCACATAGACATGGGCCCAAACACCCCACCAAATACATGATTCTTCGGTCACCCATGAGGCTGCCAGTATGAGCCCACAACTTCTTTTTCTCCCTCTGAAATAAGAGTTTAAACAATACTGCTTCCCAGCCCCAGCCCTGAGTTAAGTCAGGCAGCCAGGGAACGCTTGCAGGAAGTTGGCGGCGAGACACCGCTGCCAGGAGCCGAGCTGGTGGGGGGGAATCAGGCAGTGGGTCACGTGTGACTAGAGAGAAAAGCGGCAGTTCCCTGGGGCCCCCAGTCCCGCTCCCCCGGCTAACCAGGCCTGTGGAATCCCAAGGTCCCTCGCAGCGGGCTGGGTGAGTTGTGGGGGCCAGGAGGGGAGCTGGGGAGACTGCTGACAGAGGGGAAAGTGTTTGGAAGGAGGAGGCGTCTGTGGTTTGGAAACTGCAGGACTCTCCAGCCCCTGCCTCCAAAACCAAAATAGGCCTGTCCACCTCCCCCAGCCACCCACCCACTCACCCAGTGGGCGGCCTGGCCAGCCCTTCCTGCAGGGTTGCCACCATCCTTAGAGTGACCACGGCCTCGGTCTTTTCAGAAGCCCCAAGGTGCCCCCCCAGAACTCGTAGTCCCCACTCCCTCAACCCCAGCTCCAAATGGGCAGTCTCTTCTAGGGACCCCTACCAACCCAAGCCACTCAGCCACGAGCGAGGCCACTTCCATCTGGCCGGGCCTCCTCCCATCTGGCCCCCAGGTAGGCTGGGAGGCGCTGGTCCCGTGGAGGGGCTGGCCCTGCTTCCCCCCTTGGGGGAACGTGGGTTGGGGGCCTGAGTCCCACGCAGCATGTGTTCACAGGGCAGCAGTCCATGCCTCCACCACCCAAGCCAACTGTGGCAGAAACCAGGCCCCCAGACAGACCAGTTGGAAGAGTTGTCCTGCCTGGAGCCAGGGCTCAGAATTGTCATCACCTGGAACCTACACAGCTACAGGGCTGGACCAGCCAGATATCTTACTATGAGCCCATCAACTCCCAGACAGCTGTGTTCTCGTCAGCTCCAGGGCCACCAAGAAAAAGTCCTTTTGCAGCAAAGCCAAAGGGCTTGGCTTTACTGGGTGAAGCTGACATTGTTGGTTCCGCCCACCCTGGGAGGGCCAGGGGAAGCAGGGTGGTTACATGGCCCCAGGGCTCTGTCCTCACCCCGCCCCCAGGGGCCGTGGAGGCCGGTGCACAGGCCTGGCAGCTCCAGCGCCTGAGCCCACAGGACACGGTTTAGGCCCTGTTCTCTGCCCTGCGGCTGGGCAGGGCTCCTCTGATCTTCCCAAGAGAAGGACTGTAATTTTTCTCTGCAAAAGCAACTTCGCCTAGGAAAACTTTAATGATGGCTTCCTGCTCGAACCACAAGCTTTTAAAAATAGCCCAGCTGAGCAAAGGCAAAATGTGGACTGCAGGCCTCGCCTCGCCCTAACCTCAGAACTCTAGATTCCCGGGGCCTGGCGCTGGCCCTCAGGCCACCGCCAGGGCCAGGATATACCGTGCCCCACTGGAAAATGGAGCGGGACCAGGAGCAGGCAGGAGAGTGGAGGGTTGGCCTGGAGAACGCTGAACTTCTCAAAGGCCGAGTCAGAGTCTGGCTGAAGGAGGTTCTCAGGCGGCCTTGGCAGCTCTCCCCAGCGTGGCTGCACTGGAGTCTGGACGCTTCCAGGAGCTAGTCAATGCTGAGAAAGGCTGGCACTAGGAGAGACTCCCATGGGTCATCACCCACCTCTCGCCTATTGGCAGCCTTTCAGGTCCAGCCAGCAGCCCATCGGTTCTGTCCTCACAGCCTGGCAGGGCAGCTGCCTCTGTCCCAAAGGGAGCTGCTATCTCGGCTCGGACAGGGCCGCAGACAGGACCCCGATAATCCAGGGAAGAAAGAACAGATGGCCCTCCTGTCACAGGGCATTGGGGTGGCAGCTGTCCCTTACCCCACTGGTGCCAGAGGCTCTGGCAGGCTGCCCACCATGGTCCAGCTGAGGATCAGGGTGATTCTCACAGCTGGGAACCAGGAGGTGAGGGGCAAGCGTCTTAGAGCCCGGTGCCCTGTGCCAGCGTCCTGCTCTTCTGAGCTCGTAGAAGGCCTCTCCCTCAGCGCCCTGCTCAGCCCACTGCCCCTTCATCCGTGTACAGCACAGCCCACTGTAGTTGCCGCTGTGTGTCGTTGGGGTGGGGGGGCACCCCCACCAGAGAAGACAGCATAGGTTCAGGGTGCCCACTCCAGTGGGCGTAATCAGGTGTCCAGTCCTTCCCCACCTATACTCTGCTGCTCCTTGTCCTCCTAGAAGGTGAGGGTGGGGACGTGCCCTTCCTCCCGGGGCCTGAGCACTCCCCTGGGAGGCTCTGCACCGAGAGGGCGGAGTTTCTGTGGCCAGCTAGCCATGGGTCTGGCTGTCCAGGGGCTTCCAGGAAATGAGCAGAGCTGCCCCCAGGAGACACAGAAGCATCACCTCCCTGGAAGCCTGAGCCAGGACCCACTTGGAGGCAGCAGGGCCCCTGCCAGGGGAGAGGCTGAGGGGAGCAGGGGTGGTGCATGTGGCCCAGCCTCCTCACGCCCGCCCTCCTGAGCTTTTCCTGAGCTCTCACAGGCGCCTCTTGCCAAGGGCCCGGGAAACCCTGGATAAGGCCCACAGCCAGACTGAGGCCAGAGCAGGCAGCTCCCCGAAGGGGTCTGCTGTCCTGTGCGGTGAGGTCAGCATGCTGTCCCCCAGATGACGCATGGTCACACAGGCTCACTCGGGGCTCCAGGAGGTCCTGCCTGATTGGACTGGGCCCAGTGCTGCCACTGCTCACTGGCCTTTGGGACTTTCATCTTAACAGGACACACACAAACTCTGTCGCTCTGTCGTTGAACTTGTGTTCCCTGGAGTCCTCTTGGGGAAGTTACGTGGTTAGGTGGATGGTCAGATCAGTGGTCAGGTAAGGCTTCACAGAGGATGGGCCTCTGGGGCATTCAGATCAGACAGGAAAGATTTAAGGGGTTGAGGTGGAGAAGGGCTAGGAGAGCAAGTCCGGAACACAGCCAGAAGTGTGGCCCGTTCAGGGGACACCCAGGTTGGTCTCAGACTCCCCAACACAGGCCCCAGGAGGGGCAGGTTCCTCCTAACCCTGCCCTCCTGCCCTCAGCTCAGGGAGCCTCTGAGGTCCTAGGAACTCCAGATCTCAGCAGCCTGGCTACTGTTACTGGGCTAGGAGAGCCTCTGTGTTACCCAGGGTTTTGCCAGAACACCTGGTGGCTTCGGCACACACTGGGATCAGCAGTGAAGCCTGGCTCCTTCCCTTCCCTGGAAAAGCCAGAGGCCAACCCAGTGCCCCTTGGCAACCAGCTAAGCAAAGGCCGTGCCAGGGGACAGGAAGAGACAGCAAGGAGGACCCACATCCCAACCTCAAATAATCGTGCTTTCTTGCTTTGCCTGCCACCCACAGAGGAGAAGTATGTCACTGTGCAGCCTTACACCAGCCAAAGCAAGGACGAGATTGGCTTTGAGAAGGGCGTCACCGTGGAGGTGATCAGGAAGAATTTGGAGGGCTGGTGGTACATCAGGTAGGAGCCCCTGCAGAGAGTGAGATGCCCTGAGCAGCAGAGCAGGTGGACGCCAGATGGGGAGTGGACACCAGTGGCAGCTTTGCACCCATGGCCCGGGCTTGGCTGTGCTGAGTCCATGCAGCCGACCGGCTCGAATGGAGAGCGCTCGCCTGGCAGATTCTGCCCTGGGACCCGTAAAGCAGAACTGAGCTGCGGCCAGCGGGGCACAGGGGCCCCAGCTCAGCCTGCAGGCGGTGGTGCAGTCCCTTCCCACACGACTGCCAAGAGGGTCCAGTACATCTGAGTTCGGTTTTCTGTATCCAGCTTTGGCTGCCTGGTGTGATCCGCAGCGCAGTCTGCCTGGAGCACCGGCATCCATGGGCATTGCTGAGGCCCCAGCAGGCTGTTCCTCTCTGCTGGCTCACGTGGTTGCAACAGCTGAGGGAGAAGTGAGGCCTGGGCCCAGGCCTCTTCTCTAGCCCCTCCGTCTCCAGGGCCTAATCACCCTCTCCAGCTGAGAAACCCACTGGGAAGTGAGGGGAGGGGAGTGGGGAGCTTTCCCCACGCTCCCGGAAACAAAACCCCAGGGGCTTCACTTGCCCCTCCCTACCAAGTCCTGCCCCTTCGGTCCCCTCTGCCCTGGGACTCCAAGGCCAGCATCACCCTCAGGGAGCCTTGCCCTCAGGACATGTTTTGGTTCTTTGGGGACTCACAGAGGTGTGATGGTTTTGCCAGTTTCTCTCTTCTCTGCCTGTAGCCAGCCTGGCAGAGATAGTCTCACATCTGTGGGCTTTGGGGACCACCTTGCCCGCCCACCACACCCAGGAACCCTAGACTCGCTGTGGGTGGGATGCATCTTCTAAGCTGTGTCTCCCACAGTGGGGACAGGCATGGACTGAGTTGACACAGGCACTCACGAGATGGCTTTTCAGACCACGGCCAACCAGCTGCCAGTGGTGATCTGTGCTGATGGGTAGGACGAGGGTCACTGGCCTCAGGGGACTGACCCTTAGTGTGACCTGACAGGACATAGCTGCCCTAACCCCATGCATGTGGTCAGGAGGGCTGAGGTGTCCCTTTCTTTCTGTCCTGTTAGGTGGGTCAGGGCTGTGTGCCTGGACGTGTGCCGCCCAAGGCCACTGCCCCAGGCCTCCGCACCCCCGCGGCAGTGCGGACTAGAGCCAGCCCGCACACCCAGCAGCCGTGTGCACCGATAGGAGGCCCGCGGACATTCTGGCTGCTGGGCACCGACACCGCTTGCCCGGAGGTTATCTTACAAAGCTGCCGGCTTTGTGTTTGGTTTGTTTTTTTAAGTTTTCTAACATGACCGATAAAGCCACTTTGTGCTGCTGGTTCTAGTCGCCTCTTGTCCCCAGGGCCCAGCCCGTGAGCCGGCTGGAGCTTCAGCAGAGAAAACCCTGCCGGAGAGGTTCCACCTTAAGAAGTCTGTCAGACACCCCCTTAAATGTGCCATTTCCCAACATTCCAGGCTCTGTGTTGATCCTCATTTCCTGTCTTTCTTCTCCCCCCGCCCCCAACACACACACACACCCTCCCTCTTTCTCCATCTCTCCTCTTCCAGTTGGCTTCCCCCTGGCGCCAGTCCGTGCTCCAGAGCTGGAAAGCAGATGTGAGCAGAGCTGGGCCCAGACACACACAGCCGCTCCCGATTCCCTTGCCTCTCTCCGCCTGGGATCTAATTTTATCCGTGTAACACTGAAGGAACACACGGGTCTGAAGTGGGCAGCGGCTGGCCTGTCACTCCGTAAGGCCCCGCGGCCCACCCTCAGCAGTGTTCTCACAGCAGAGTGCTTGCCACGCCAGCAGGTTCCGCACCCTCCCTTCTCCAAGATGGAGGAGCGCCGGCGTCTGAGCCAGATGCCGCCACCAGCTAGCTGTGTGACCCCCGCTACCTGCTTCGCTTTCCAGAGCCTCGGCGGTCGCCTCCTGTAAGAGGAGGCATCTCGACCAGTTGTTGCCATCCTGCCCCGAAGTCCTGTGCCTGTCTGTCAGCTCCCTGACTTCCATCATCTGTTCGCGGATGTCTGCCTCCCAGGTCCCACACCGGCCTCTCCCTTCTCCTGCCCTTTCTCCTGCCCCTCCAGCAAGGCTCGAGACACGTCCTCGACAGAAGCTTTAACTTGCACATTCCTTTTTTTCCACCTAATGAGACCCCCACAGCAAGGTCGGGTGGGGAGGCAGGAGAGGGGACTGTCAGACATCTGTCATGGAGGAGCCATTCCAGAGAGCCAGCTGTGTCCCAGGAAGCAGACGGGGACATTACAACCAACTCAGGGGCAGTGACAGCTGCTGGGCTGGGAAGCGGGTTTGGGTAGAAGCTCAGCACCACTTGAGAAAAAAGGGGACAGCTTGTTTTCAGAAGTCATCAAGCAGTAAATTAAGGCAGCCTGGCGTTTCGCCTTTTCTCCCATTTAGGAGTTTTCGGGTTTTGTTTTCCAGTCCCAAAGGTTTTCATTTTATCCTGTCACGTGCTTTAGTCTTTTCGTGTATGGTTTCAGCCTTTGGAATCCCATTTAGATAGGTTTCTCAACCCCTTGAGATTAGGCAAATACTGACAACTTGCATTTTTAATTTTACTATAGGGCATGAGGCCAGTGTCTCACTTGTTCTTCCTAACTAGATAATCAGGTGTCCCCAAATCAATTACTGAATAATCCATCCTTACCACATGAATTTGAAATGTTCAAAAAATTTAAATTTGCACTGCCCAGGTAGCTCGGTTGGTTAGAATGTTGTCCAGGGTCGCCAAGATTGTAGGTTTGGTTCCCAGTCAGGGCACATACAAGAATCAACCAATGAATGCGTATTTAAGGTGAATAATAGATTTCTCTATATGTCTCTCTCTTTCTTCCTCGCCCTTCCTTTGTCTCTCTAAAAAAAAACATCAATGAAAGGAAGGAAGGTCCTCATTAGCGTTCGTCTGTTTGTGGACTTGTTCCATGAACTTGATCCGTCTGCTACTTCTGCATAGTGTGGATCTTCCCCCACTCAGTCACTCTTCTTAAGAGATATCATCCCAGTTGGTCTCAATGTGTTCATCCTTCTGATAAATTTTTGCAGTTACTTTATCCATGCATTTTTCCAAAGAGAAAAAAGTTTAGCTCTGGGGTAGGGACTTGTGCAAGGTACCATAGATCAGAATTCAGGTTTTCTAACTCACCTGGGCTACCTCTTTGCCTCTCTGATAATACCGCTCTTTCCAATAGGACATTTAGCTCTAGACACCTTATTTTTTATCTCCAAAATTCCCCTTATTGCAAGGTAGCAGGCTTTTATGAAGGCTATCTTTCGGGTGACCCAAAATTTGAGGAATCTTCTCACCTGAACATCCCACATTCGCCTGACTTGCAGAGTATGGGAATTCCCACCAGGAGGCATTGGGCAGAGAACAAGGAGGTAGTCAGAAATGGTGTTCTAGGTGTCTTCTCCACCTGCCCTCAGTTCCAGGTCTCCCCGGAGCAGAGGGATTGCAACGTGTCTGCTGAACACAGTTGAAACGGCTCCGCTGGGTGAAGCCAGATGAACCCTGGGCCTGGGGGCGGGGCTTGAGGGCTGGCTTCAGGGCTCTGGTGACTTATGTCCCACTCCTCCCCCACAGATACCTGGGCAAAGAAGGCTGGGCACCAGCATCCTACCTGAAGAAGGCCAAGGAAGACCTGCCAGCACGGAAGAAGAACCTGGCGGGCCCAGTGGAGATCATTGGGAACATCATGGAGATTAGCAACCTGCTGAACAAAAAGGCATCAGGGGACAAAGAGACTCCACCAGCTGAAGGCGAAGGTCCGGAGGTCCCCATCGCCAAGAAGGAGATCAGCCTGCCCATCCTCTGCAACGCCTCCAACGGCAGTGCCCTGGCAGTCCCTGAGAGGACCGTCTCCAAGCTGGCCCAGAGCTCCCCGGCCGTGGCTAGGATTGCCCCTCAGAGGGCCCAGATCAGTAAGAGCCTCGATGAGCCCCGGGTCCTTGCTGCAAAGATATTTATAGAGTGGGCATGGGGTGCAAGGAAAGCTGGAAAGGCATGCGGGACCCCCACATCATTTTCTTCCTGAGAGCTAGATGGACCCCTGACCCCAGCCTCACTCTGTCGACTGGTGTCGTGCTAATTACAGGAGTGGACAAGGCAGTTCCTCCCAAGCCCTCGACTGAAGATAAATCGCATCAGTATATAAGCTGCTAGCATTCCCTTCTCTAGTGGAGAGCCAGGGATGCTCCCTTTGTAGACAAGCGCGGTCCCTGGGCTGTGAAACGTGGGCCGTAGATGCCAGGCTGCTTTGCCAAAGAGGGGCATCTTCCTGGGCCTTACCCCACCTTCCTGATTGCCTTCCATGAATTTCCAGAAGCCTACAAGGTCTGGATGAGGCGGCTTTACCGCTCTGTAAAGCGTATCTTTAGGGCTGCTCTTCAGGATCCTCCTCATTCCTCCAGGAAGAACCCTGCTCTCTGGCGAGCTCTGAGTCTCCACACACCTCTGGCTCACAGTGCCTTTGGCTGCGGGTTAAACTGTTCTCTATTACCAGAGATGAGCTTCTGTTTGTGTCCAGCCTTAAAATCTGGAGGAAAGCTGTTTTTGTTCTAAACTTGGTTAAGGTTGCTCTGTGCCTGAAATCTTTTAGGCAGGCAGTTGGGAAATCTTTTTTCTTATTGTATTTTCCCCATTATCATTTATCCCCCTTAGGTCCCCCTTCCCCCTGCAATCACCACCCTGTTGTCCATGCCCATGAGTCCTTTTTCCTTTTTGCTCAATCCCTCTACCCCTGAGCCCCCATAGCTGTCATCCTGCTCTGCATCTGTGACTCTCTGTTTTGCTTGTCTGTTCATTAGAGTCCACATGTGAGTGAAGTCATGTGCTATTTGTCTCTCTGTGACTGACTGACTTTATTTAGCTTAATGTTCTCCAGGTCCATCCATACTGTCACAAAGGGTAAAATTTTCTTCTTTTTTTTTTTACACCCGAGTAGTAATCCATTGTGTAGGGAAATCTTTTGAGGGCCGCTCCTCTTGCCTGGAATTGTACTGGTTTCTAAGGACTTTGTCGTGAGCACAAAATAGACTTGGTCTTGGCTCCATGCTTTGAAAATCTATATATTGGGTTGGCCAACATTTTCATTTAGTTCGTTCTGCAAAATCAAAGATATTTTCATTTTCACCAATAACTTTATTGATTTGGATGTTCTGAGTACGTCGGCTACCTCCCGTGCGGTATGACAGAATAATGTTGATGGCGGTCAGTTAACGTCTCCATTTGATCACCGTCTACTTCAGCTGGTCTACCCAACCGTTGCGGAGCACTGGCCACTGAGAAATCTCCAGCAGGAAACTTTGCAAACCACTTTTGACACATTCGATCCGTGACAGCACCTTCTCCATATGCTGCACAAATCTTTTTCTGTGTTTCGGTTGCATTTTTACCTTTCTGGAAATAATAAAGCATAACAGGCTGAAAATGTTGCCTAATTTCTCCCATCTTCCGTGTTAAAATGGCTACACAAAAATGCACCAATTTTGATAAGTTTTTTTAAGTGCATGCTGATGTGACAGCTGTCATAATACAGTCTAACAAAATTGTTTCAAATGAAGTTAAAGATGGCTAAGCACTACCAGAGCCATCTTTTGGAGAAAAAACGAACAAAATTTTTGGCCAACCCAGTACTTTGATAGAGCTGTATTCCCTTTCTCCTAAAAAATGCCTCCCCCGTGTCGGTCCGTTTTGCAATGCCCACGCTGTTGCAGAGGCCCCCCACCCCCGGAAGCATAGGCAGCGCAGCCAGGAGCTCGGGGCTTTCCTGCCGAGGCAGCCTGACCACAGTGCCTGTGTGACCGAGAGGGTGGGCTCTTCATGAGTGTGGGGTGGGATCAGGAGGCGGTCGCACCGCGGGAAGGCAGGGGCAGGCCGTGTTGCCCGGTGTCTGGCTGGTGTTTTCTAAGCCATGTTCCTTCTTCTAGGCTCCCCGAACCTCAGGACGAGGCCTCCACCTCGCCGAGAATCCAGCCTGGTATGTGTGCCTATCTCTTCTCCCTGTTTTGTTCCTTTTCTGGGGGTGCGCTGTTTCTAGTGGCCCCCATTAATTGGCTCTCTCACCGCAGAGCCTATTGGTCCCTTCCAGCCGTGTGGGGCTGTGGGCAGAGAGGAAAGCTTGCAGATCCCAGCCTTTTGTGGGGGACCAGCTGGACAGTTTATAATTGAAAACGCTCTGCACTCCAAAGCTAAATAAATCCATCCCGGCCACTGCACTGGCAGACATAAACATTTAGACTGGCCCGCGAGAGTGTCCGGCCAGGGCATTGCCAGGGGCTTGAAATGTAGCTGTCCCTGTGAGCCTGGACACCTCTCAGCTTTGCCTTCCTTGCTAGGGAGTGCCGGATGGAGGTGGTGGAGGCCAGAGGCGGGAGAGTGGAGGGCAGACCAGTGAGCACCCTCCAGGAGTTGGAGGGGGGTTGGCGTCAATCACCAGGACGGGTTTGTGCTGGAGCTTACAGATGCTCAGTGCTGCTGGGGGCCTTGCTTCTGTGGGTGGGGATTCCTGGCATCCAGACTGTTGAGGAGGCTGATGGGCATTCAGGGTGCTGGGCTCGGGCCAGCAGCCATGCTGGTGGCGGACTGAGAGCCCTAGAACAGAGGATGTTATCAAGGGCAGTGGGGTACAGTGGAAAAAAGGGGGCTTCAAGTCTGCCAGACATAGACTCACATTCCACTCCTGACACTTAGCAACAGGGCAAGTTGCGTACTCGCCACAAGCCTCAGTGTCCTCATCTGTAGGATGGGGATGGTACCGGGCGTCTGCTGGGGCTGCTGTGAGGATGAAATGAGCCGATGTGTGCTGCAGGCTGGCAGTCAGGTTTCCACTTCCTGTGCCAGCTGTCACTGTCGGAAGCACTACCTGCGACAGCTGCACGGAAACAGACTTCTGAAGTCACACCTGGGCGAACAGCAAGGGTTACTGTGATCAGTGACCTCCGCCCACGGCAGGGCAGCAGTTCCTGGAGCAGCGGGCCTTCGGCAGACGGGATTATTGAAGAGGTGGCCGAGGAGATGAGCCCGAGCTCGCCCTGGCCGTCGGCCCCCGTGGGCTTTCTAGCTCCCTTTTCCCTGGTGGTGTATGTGGCTAAACAGCAACTTCTTCCCTGCCTTTGCTCTCAGCCCCAGCTAATTACTTTCAGGCAGACTTGATTTTGGCAAGAATGGGGTAATTCCTTCCACACTTACCAAATGCAGGTCTTGCGGAGGCAGAGCTGCTGTTTCCAGCGAGGCCCGGCTGAATCCCACTTGGCCAGGGGTCTGGGCTGGGCTGGGGCCGGGGCCACATGTGCTCACATGCACGGCCGCAGGGCCGGGCAGCAGGGCAGGGAACGTTGACTGAGTCCTACCCAGTTCCTTCAAAACCAGCTTCTTCCCAGCCTCTTTTCACTCTGACCCCAGGCAGCTGAGCTGTTGCCCCTGGATCAGGACTTGCCTGGAAGGGCAAAGGGAGGAGGGTGCAGGGGACAGGGTGGTGTTGACCTTTGGCTTCTCTCTTCCCGGGGCCCTTCGGGTTGGGCCAGAAGTTTGTATTTACATTATCTCAGTAATCCTCTCAATGGCCCCACCTTCATTCCGGTTTATTGATGAAGGAACTGAGGCTGAGAGAAGGTCAAGGCCCTGCAGCTGGTGCATGGCTGAGCTGGGACTGACGCTCACGTGTGCCCAGCTGCAAGGAGAGGTCTTTCCAGGTCTTATGTCACAACACGGCCACTTCCCCCTCCCTAGTCTCCCACTCACCCATCTTCACTCAAAAAATGTTCTGTTTTAACCCCTTTGTGTGATACCAGGACGCACTGGGAGTAATGGGGAGGCACCAAGCAACTCGTGACCGGAATAGAGGACGGGTGAGCTAGAATATCTGATCAGCTCAGGGGTCGTTCTTTAGGACGCCTGGTGCCTTAGACCATCGTCCAGCACCCAGTCGACACAGAGCAAATGTTTATAAAATAAATGAATGAGTCTCACAAGTCACAGGCCAAATTCTAAATGTCCTCAAACGTTGTCTAGGTATTCACAGGTCAGCATCTGAAAAACAGGTCGCCCCCCGTGTGCCACCGTCTGCAGGGCAGCGGGCCCTGGGCTTTATTCAGTGCTTGCCGATGTTTGGCAGCATTGTGATGACCGGCCAAGGGCTCTCCTCACCCTGCACCCCGCCCGTAGCAGTGGCTGTGTCCCCTAGCTCTGCCCCTACAGCCGAATGTCACCCCTGCAGCCTTCTCCCTTAGACTTAAGGAAGCGACTGTCCTCCCCCACCAGGCAGTGTGTGCACAGACTTTGTTACAACGCCTTCTCTGGGTTTTTGTTTTCGTTTTGGTACCTAGCTGTTGAGGCTTCAGGAGACTGAACCTCCAGAGAGAAAGGGCGGGAATTGATGTTACTGAGTGATCATTTTGAAGGCTCAGACACAGTGCAAGTGAATCCTAGGAAGGAGAGTGACTCAGGTGATAGGTACGTCCTCAGGTCAGCTGCTGTCTGGCTGGGGTTACTGCCGTGCTCCCTGCTGTTACTGTTATGATCAGGTCCTGGGTTTTGCTCACTGAGTCCTTCTCTGCTGCAGGGGTTCCAGCTGCCGAAGCCACCAGAGCCCCCTTCTGTTGAGGTGGAGTACTACACCATTGCCGAATTCCAGTCCTGCATTTCTGACGGGATCAGCTTTCGGGGTGGACAGAAGGCAGAGGTGAGCCTTGGGCCAGGAGGCTGAGGGTTTTCACTCAGGAGGCTGAGGGTTTCAACTGGTCAAAGACCTGCTGCGTTTCTCTTTTGTGTCTTGCTGGCACCATTCCTGAGGGGCAAGCAAGAGCAGCACAGAAACAAGACCCATGAAGCTGGTAAGAAGCGCAGTCAGGGCTGGAGCCCAGGACTCACGTTTCCACCTGGTGCTCCTGGTGCTTCCTTTGCAAGCAGCTCTTCCCAAAGCAAATTACAGGAGCTAGTGATGGGTGTGCTGTGAGACAAAGGGCTTCCGTGGTTGGGTGAGTTTGGAGGACAGTGGGTTCAACAAAATTCAACCAGTTTTGTTGTTTTAATTGCAGAACTTCTCAGAGCCTATGATATGGGGCTGTCACTGTCACTGTGCATCTCTGAAAGGGGACTAGATTGGGCAGCACGGCCCGGTCCCAGTTGGCCCCGGCACACTGTCTCTCCCAGGAGCCCCTTGGGGGGCTGTGCGTTAGGGAGTGCCATTGCTGGGAGAACGTGGTCCAGGCTGCTGAAGCAAGATGCCGGGGGCCGGGTTCTGGCCACGTCTGCACCACAGGCACTTCTGGTACCCAATGTCACCGCTCCTCCCCCACAGGCTTTGGTTATGTTCTGCAAACTGGGGGGGGGGCGTGCCCTGGGGTGGCCCCTCCTGGCCTGTCTCCTGACATTTATGAAACTGCTTTGTAGTCGGTGTTGAACATGGCATTCCAGGGGACAGAGAAGGTCTGTGATTCTGTTGTTTCTCTCGAGTGGCTTTGTGTAGTAATGGAGTAAAATCCAATTAATTCAGATAAAACTGTGAGGAGATTAACCCATTGAAGAGGTGATATCCCCACTGTGAATGTTTTAAATCACAGGCCTGGAACTAGGAACTAAACTTCCCAGGGAAATCATTCTCTCGTTGGTGTTTAGTTTTTTGGAAGGACCTACGAAGCTGGTAACGTCACAGAACTATCATACTTAGGATAACCTAAGCTTGACGTTTAGGTATAGGGGCGGGCAAGGGTGAAGGAGAGAACAGAGTGAGAAAGAGACGAGAAGAATCCCTCCTTGTTTCGGTGGCAGTCTGGCCTTAGGCCGAGCTTGCCTTTGGCAGCCTCCACCCTCTCTTCCTTGCCCTGTTCCCCAGGGCCAGTGTTTCCGTGCTTCTCCTTCCTCTCCCCAGGACCTCTTCTCTGGGGCGTCCACCACACAACCTTCCTTTTGTGTTCTCCGATCCAAATGAACCCCAGCACAACCAGTTACTTCACCCCTGACCTTCAGCCTGTCTTAAATAGCCATTAAGAGAGGAGCTCCTACAGGTTTTCTCTCCCTCTCTTTCTCCCCACCTTCCTCTCTCTCTAAATAAATAACAAAATCTTTTAAAAAATAAAAATTTTAAAAAAGAGAGGAGCTCCTTGAACTAGTTTATACTAACATGGAAATGACTGGCAGCCCCTCATCCTGCCCACAGGAAAACCATTCAACCCAAGGAAATCTTTTCGGTTAGTGGGATTCCACAGGCAGTGGGCAAAGTGGGCACAGAGAGTAGGTCTGTGTAGGGAGGCTGTGGCCTCAGTCAGGCCACGTCTCCCCGTTCAACTCACCTGCATCTTCACATTCTCTTCTGACCTGACAAACCCTTTCCAGGGTCACCAGGGGACGACCTCGTGATATTGGAGGTGGGAAGAAGATGGGAGTGGTGGAATGGCAGTTTTTTTATACATGTAGGTCCTTGGCAAGTTGGGTCCAGTGGGGACTGGGAACAGTGTGTCTTCTAAGTGCAGCAGCTTAGGGGGAGAAGCAGTGGTCAGCGAGGAGGCCAGCTGGACTGGAATGTTGACAGAGGCTTGGAGGGCTAGGGGAGGGGGACTTGAATAGTGGGAGCCCCACTATTTTAGTGGAGATGCTAGAGAACTGGGTTTGATTCCAGCCCATCACCTACTGCATGGGGTCCTGGGCCACTTACTCAGTCTGCTCATCTGTAAATGGAGATAATGTCTCCTAGAGCCAGAATACGAAGCCCGTAGCCTGGCACATCACAGGGTCTGAGCAATCCTCCCCACTCACTGGCCTGTCCATCCCTTCCCCCAGGTCATCGACAAGAACTCGGGTGGCTGGTGGTACGTGCAGATTGGTGAGAAGGAGGGCTGGGCCCCCGCGTCCTACATCGACAAGCGCAAGAAGCCCAACCTGAGCCGCCGTACGAGCACACTGACCCGGCCTAAGGTACCCCCACCAGCGCCCCCCAGCAAGCCCAAGGAGGCTGAAGAGGGTCCGGCAGGCACTAGCGAGAACCAGGGCTCCCCACTGAAGCTCAAGTACGAGGAGCCTGAGTATGACATCCCTGCCTTTGGCTTTGACTCAGAGCCAGAGCCGAGTGAGGAGCCCGCAGAGGACAAAGGCTTGGGGGACAAGCGGCCAACCCAGCCCCGCAGGCCCTCACCAGCCTCCTCCCTGCAGCGGGCCCGCTTCAAGGTCGGCGGATCTTCGGAGGATGTGGCCCCAGAAGAGGAGACCATCTACGAGAATGAGGGCTTCCGGCCATGTGCCGAGGACACCCTGTCGGCCGGACGCTCCTCCCGGGACAGCGACTCCCCGGGAGACTCCCCGCTGTCCCTTGCCAGGAAAAACTCCCCCAGATCAGACTCCCCCAAGTCCTCCTCGCTCCTGAAGCTCAAGGCCGAGAAGAACGCCCAGGCAGAGCTGGGGAAGACCCACTCCTCTGCCTCCTTCTCCTCGTCCGTCACCATCAACACCACCTGCTCCTCCTCCTCCTCCTCATCCTCCTTGTCCAAGCACAGCGGCGACCTGAAGCCCCGTTCTGCCTCGGACGCAGGCATCCGTGGCACGCCCAAGGTCGGGGTGAAGAAGGACGCTGACCTGAAGGCAGGACTGACCTCCTGTGCTCGGGCCAAGCCATCGGTCCGGCCCAAGCCATTCTTGAACAGAGCGGAGTCCCAGAGCCAAGAGAAGATGGACATCAGCACTTTACGGCGCCAGCTGAGACCCACAGGCCAACTCCGGGGAGGTCTCAAGGGCTCCAAGAGTGAGGATTCAGAGCTGCCCCCCCAGACGGCCTCCGAGGGTCCCAACGAGGGGTCTAGGAGAGGCTCAGCTGACATCATCACCCTCCCAGCTGCCACGTCCCCGTGTCCCACCAAGAAGGGGCAGGAAGGGCAGGCCACCTCCTACACGACTTGCAGTGCCTACCAGAAGGTCCAGGACTCGGAGATCAGTTTCCCTGCAGGCGTGGAGGTGCGGGTGCTTGAGAAGTTGGAAAGCGGCTGGTGGTATGTGAGGTTTGGGGAGCTGGAGGGCTGGGCCCCTTCCCATTATTTGGTGCTGGGTGAGAACGAGCCGCAGGACCCCACTGGCAAAGAGCCAGACGCAGTGACCGCCAGGGGCAAGCAGGAGGGCAAGTCAGACAGCCTGGAAAAGATCGAGAAGCGGGTCCAAGCGCTGAACACCGTCAACCAGAGCAAGCGGGCCACGCCCCCCATCCCCTCCAAGCCCCCTGGGGGCTTCAGCAAGACTTCCGGTGCTGGGGCGGTGAAAATGAGGAATGGTGTTCGGCAGGTGGCAGTGAGGCCCCAGTCGGTATTCGTGTCCCCACCACCCAAGGACAACAACCTGTCCTGCGCCCTTCGGAGGAACGAGTCACTCACGGCCAGCGATGGCCTCCGAGGCGTGCGTCGGAACTCCTCCTTCAGTACCGCCCGCTCGGCCGCCGCAGAGGCCAAGGGCCGCCTGCCCGAGCGGGCCGCCAGCCAGGGCTCAGACTCACCTCTGCTGCCCGCCCGGCGCAATGGCATCCCCGTGTCCCCGGTGCGCCCCAAGCCCATCGAGAAGTCCCAGTTCATCCACAACAATCTCAAAGACGTGTATGTCTCAATCGCGGACTATGAGGGGGACGAGGAGACGGCGGGCTTCCAGGAGGGCGTGTCCATGGAGGTCCTGGAGAGGAACCCCAACGGCTGGTGGTACTGCCAGATCCTGGACGGGGCGAGGCCCTTCAAAGGCTGGGTGCCCTCCAACTACCTGGAGAAAAAGAACTAACGGGGGCGTGGATCCTTTCAGCCTGAGGGTGGATGAGGGGTGAAACGAACTCAATGGGGAAAGGGAAAATGGGAGGGGGTGGGGGGAGGGCTACATTAAACCCTGCAGAAGGGATGACCTCAAGGACACTGCCCTCTGGGCTGTCCCTCAGCCAGAAGGTAAGGTCTGGTGGTGGCCCACCTTCAGCGGGAGGCCTGGGACCGGAGGTGAGACAGCTGAGCCCCATGCATGCACCATTGGGACTTTGCTGGCGGGCTCAGTGCCGTTGGGGATGGACGCTGTGAGAGGCCCCAGCTGTGTCGTGGCTGCAGGTCTGGGGAAGATGTGGTTGAAGGGGCCTCCGTGCCCTGTCCTGGCGTAGCCCAGTTCCAGTTGCCGGCACCTTGTCACCAGAGGTGGCCCTCGTATCGTCCTCACCTGTCATTGTGAATTGTGCCGGTTGCCCAGGGGCCGCCAACACCCAGCATGGGTGGTCCGGGCTTGGACTCCACTGGCTTTGGGGCTTGGATGCACGTCCTGTGAGCTCAACCTGCCCCTCCCTGGCCAGGCCACTGCCAGTGTCTGTCTGTCGAAGAAAAAGCAGTTCCCCAGGCGCCAGCAGGGACCACCTTTCTTAGCCATCACTGACCGTGAGCAGAGAGCCCACGCTGCCCAGGGCACCGTGGGCGACTGGGCCCGGTCTACAGGGGATGGGCAGCACCATGGGTCTCCTCCCAGTCTGCATGGACTTCATTTTGGACATTTCTGGGTGCACAGCTCTTGTGCATGTTTTGGGAGAGGTTTATTGATTCGGGGCTTTTATGTTGGGCCTTGGGTTTTGTTCTTATTTTAGGGGTTGTTTGGGGGCCTAGGGACGGTCGGCCTCACGGGAGGGTAATGGACGGCCTTCCCTGCGGTGCTCTCGCAGGGAGGTTGTTCGGTCGTGTTTGACATGCTTCCCTGGAGTCATTTCATTTGGTTTCCACTGTGTGGACAGTTCTGGAGCTCGGCGTTTGCTGGAGGCACTGGGGGCTGGAGAAGCCCCGGGCCCCAGACACCTGAAGCCCAACCCCAGGAGGGAGGAGGGGCTTATTCAGGAGAAAAGGTGGCTCTCAGGCCCCTGGGTGACTGCTGTTCTGTGTACATTGTCCCGCTTGGGCAGGACCGAAAGCCTTACATGCAAACTATGGAGAAGCGGCCATCGTCCCACTCCTGGTCTGAGGGGACCCCAGCTGGGCAACTTGGGCGAGACTGGAGCACACACCACCAGCCACCCCCCCCCCCAGCCTGCAAGTGATGCCGCAGTTACCCAAGGAGAGAAGGAGAACCCGGGGCCAGAAGCTGACCTGGTCTTCCCAAGGGGCAGTGCCCCCGGAAAGATAGAAGTAAGAGAATCGAGTCCCTGCCAACTTTGGGTCTTGCAATTGTTGATGTTCCCAAGGGGACCCTCCAGAAGCCGAAGCGGCTTCCCAAGGACTCACCCTTTGCTGGGAGTGGATCTCCGCACGTGCCTTTAATTTCGGACAGATCAGGCCTCACAGCCACGATTCAGCTGCCAGAATCCTGGGCTCAGGGCTGGTGTTTCCCGCAGAGGAGGAAAGGCCCTCTCTCCACCCCTGCTTCCCACCCAGGAAGTCCACGTTGCCTGAAGACGAGCATGGGGCCCAGCGCCTCATGCCTTCAGAATCCCATCCGCCCCCTCCCGACCCCCGAGGCCTTGCCTGGGACCCCCCCAGCCCTCCTCCATCCTCTACACTGATGCCCGGCAGCTACAGCAGACTGCTCGTGTTCTTTGTTAAACGGCCGTGGTGAGATTTTGTTTCCTTTTGTTTGTGATTTTAAATCGAAATTAGTTATTTTCTTCTGCTGGACAGTATTATATAGAGCAGGATGTTGAGTTAATCTGCTAGACTGCAGTACTAATAGTAGTGGTGTAGTGTCTTCATATTAATATTATTTGGACTTCTTTGAACAATAATGATAAAGAAGTGGTTCATTATTTTTTTAATTAATGCACTTTAATAAGGTAGAATGGAAAGAAACCCAGAGAGCAAAGTGCATTACTTAAAGATGCAGTATATACTTTTCTCATTTTTAAGCAGCACATATTTATTAAAAGAAAAAAAGTAATTTATGATTATTTAAAATAAAATTTAAAAGTAGAGTGACTGTCGGGTGAAAGGACCTTCCACGGAGCTGTCTCCCAGGGCGAGGCCCCAGCGGCCGGCCTCACTCCCCAGACGTCTGCACTGAGCCAGTTCCATCAGCATCGCGACGGCCAGGCCAGGAAGGCAGGCAGGGCGCCTCTGCCAAGCACAGAGCATCTCAGTCAGACTGGACCACAGCGCTCCCCAGCGCCTGTCTTTCCCTGCCCTTCCTCACTGCCTGCACTGCCCTGCGGGGCTCTCCACCACCAGCAGGGCCCACGTTCCCCCAGTTCCACGCCCCCCAGGACCTTCTCTCCTTGATCCCCAGTGCTCTAAGTGATGGTCATGAAAAGTGACCTCGTAGGTCACGCCATCCCATCCCTTCCTGTCACTGCAGCCCGAGGACAGGAAATGACTTTCCCAAAATCACATAGCTAAGTTGGATGGCAGGACCCCCCCCCCCCCCCCCCACTGCATCAGTGCTTGCACTCCTACCCACCCCCATTAGAGTTTATTGTGTGGTCATCGTGTTTACATTGTGGCACCCAGCCCTAAGGATGGCTGGGAGTTGCTCAGGCATCCAGGAAACGTGGGGAATGCTGCCACCTGGTGGCAGCGTGTAGATTTGGGCAGTGAACAGGGATTGCCATGCCCCATCTTTGCCCCTCGCCCCTCACCATCGCCCCCTAGTACACAGCACAGCACAAACCCTGCAAACGGAAAGAGAATATTAATACTTGAAGCAAAAAGGGTGCATGCCAGTCCCTCTCAGACATGGCCAGGCGATGCCAGGCCTTGTGCCCCTGGACGCCGAGCCCTCCCCAGGGCAAGAGGGCCTTTCCCTAGAGCTACTGAGCTGCTTTGTGATGTTGGAGGGTACTGCTAGTGGCAGGTGGAGGAGGGAGGGGCCTGTGGCTCTGACCCATCTGGAGGAAAACCAGATCGGACTCAAAAAGGAAAAAGAAAAATGAAATCTCAGCAGTGTCCAAACCTAGTTTTCCATTAGTTGCGATTGAAAATGTGAAATGACATTGTATGGCTGTATACTGCAACTTTAATCATAATGAGCCCTTCTGAGGTCATTATTGAGGTTTATATAATGCCTGAAGATGCAGCATTGGTGCTTTTTCTTTCCGTTGAGAGACTTTTTCTTTCATTACAAGGGGAAAACAATGTCTTCATCTCTCTGCCACTTTGTAACAGTGGGCCTGGCTGGGCTTCCTGGCCCCGCCATGCCATCTCCACTCCGCCAAGGGACCACGGAGGTGGCGGGAGGGAGCTGGGAGGGGGGACCCTCCGCAGCAGGTGTGCCATCTGCTCCTAGCTGTGGTGGGGCCCTGCCTCGCCAGCCCTCGGCCCGTCCACCCCCAGCCTGGCCCCAACCGCCTCTTTGCTCCTCCTCAACCCTCCATCTTGACGAAGGCATTATATAGAATCATTTTAATCACTTTCAGATGTTAGAGCAGAGTATTTTACTGGCATTTATCCATCGCTTTCCTCAGCAAGGCATGTTACTACTCTTATCATCTAAGGAAAAAAGACAAGGGAATTTTGGTCAAGCATTATTTTCATATTACTAGTATTTGCAGAATAGGTGTAGAACTATTTAAGTTAGACTTTGGTTTTGGTAGTTTGTTTTGTTTCTAAGGGGGGAAAAGATAAGGTAACCCCTACTTTTTTTGTATTTAACTAATATATTATTTCTTTAAGGTTACTCACTTCCCCTAGTTCCTCCAAATACTTTGCATTCTCAGTCGAAAATGAAAACAATCTGAGAGACAGGAAACGTGCAATATTATCAAGAGGGATGCCAGGGCCTGTGGGGATGGGGGCCGGAGGTCCAGTGGCCTCTGTCGGTAGGAGGAGGCGGGGCTGCTGGGAGGAGTCAGAGCTGTGGAACAGACAAGCAGCCTTGTGGGTAGTGATCTTTTTCCCCTCCTGCTCTGCTTCCCTGGCAAGGTGGCAGGGGTCCCCACCAGCAGGCAGCCCCTTTTTCTGTTGGGTGTCATCCACCCAGAAGAAAGGGATTCAGGGAAGTAGCATGGGGCTCTCGACCTCTGGGGGACCCAGCCCGCAGAGCAGAGCAAGGGCATCCAGAAACTGTTCCTTGTTTTCATTTCCGTTTGCCAGCCAGCTGCTCAGAAAGACCTGTCCTAAAACACTCTCAGCAGCCCTCTCTCACCCCGTCTCCTGATGTTTGGGCCATGATCCTTTGGATGTATGTTTGAGTCTTTCTAAAACTATGTAACCTCAAGTTCAGTTCATGGGCAGGAACCCTAGATGTAATCAGATCTTTCTGGGGAAGGCAGGTGCCTTCAGCCCTGTGAGATAAATCCCAGTGAGATGCCAATTCCCACAGGCCTGCAGCTGGGCCTGGTGCTAAGCCCGGGCCACCCATTCATCTCAATGACTTCGGCCGAGGAGTGAGCCCCGCCTCTGCTCAACGCCCCCAGTCCCCAGAGGGTCTCAGAGAAGCATCCAAGGGGCCTACTCATGTCTCTGTGGACAGAACTGTCCACAACAGGTACCAAAGCGGCCCCCTCCTAACTTGGCACAGGCAGAGAAAGCAGCAGGATGGGAAGCCCCTGGGTGCGAGCCCTCGGAGCGCTGCTCCTCAGCTGTGGAGGACACCCTCGCTTGCTTGTCCCCTCCTGCTCCAGGACCGTGCTCCGTCCTTTCTGTTTGGTGAACTTCCGTACAGACGTGGACTACGTGCTAAGTGGGACTGTGGCCCCACGCGTGGGTGTCTCTCTGTGGAGTGTGTGCATCTGTGTACAGCCTCTGAAGAGTCTTGACACAGAGCTCTCTCGAAAGAGAACCATCTACGTAGCTAAAGAGTTAAGATTCCCTCACTTTTTTGAGGGCCGCGTGCTGTTGAGAAATTGTGTTTGTGTGTGTGCGTGCACACACGTGTGAGTGTTGATAATTTCCCACTTGAACTAAATGAAATGGGGTTAGAGAAGCAGAACACCAGGCAAGCTGTCTCCATTGTACACGTCCTTGGCATTGGGCAGGCCCCCCAGGACTCACAGCTTCTGGCAGCAAGTGTGTGTTCTTCACACACACACAATTCTGGCTGGAGAGTGCAATGTGTCTTTTATTTTTTACTTTTTGTAATTATTTTATTAAGTATTTAGTTGGAAACTTCACACTGGCATTAACAGATCTAGCAGAAGCAGCCTAGGACATCGTCCCAGCTCCCACTTGAAGGTGTGGGAGAGACGCCGTGGGGCGTGGGAGCACCACGGTGCGTCTTTTGGACCACCACCTGCAGGGCTGTTGGGCAGCAGCCCAGCTCCCACCAACTGCCATGTGCGCCAACCCTGGGGAAGCCCCTGTAATGAAGGAGCTGCCAGCCCCCAGTGCCTGTGTTTCTGAGGGTGGGCAGGCTGTGCAGGGTGGGAACCGGCTCGCCCTGCGTGCAGCAGGCAGCCGTGCATGGACATCAGCACCCCAGTCCAGACTTCGGGCCGTCTGATACCATGGGAACAGTGTGGAGGGGTCCCCCTCGACCTTACTGAGATTTTTGCCTAAATCTTGATCCCTGTGTGGGGTAGCCTCTCTGACTCTCATGCTCCATGATCAGAGAAGGGTGGGGTCAGTGACCTACTGCCTCATTTCAGGAAAAAGTCCCACTGATGTTGGCTTTCCTCCAGTTTTGTCCTGTGCACCTGGGCTCCCAGACAAGAAACTGGGCCCGTTGGCGCTTACACACTGGGCAGAGGGCTCTACCTTCCAAAGCCTGATCCCAACCCACCTGTAAGGCTGATACCCACCCCACCCCACCCCAATCCTATCTTTGTAATCTTAAGTTTGCACTTGACCTTGACAATCAGCCCCCTCTCCCATCCCAGCCCTAGAACTTAGTGGCCTTAGAGAACAGGTCCCTGTGCTAAAGGTCCCTCCTTTGCCCCCAGTTCCATCTGGCTAATGGGGCTGGACTTTAGGAGGTGAGAGAGAAAGGAAGGATTGTTTTAAAGCAAAAGGATGGATCGAGCACGTTGGAAGTGAGCGAGAGGCACGTCGGCAAGATGAGTAAGTGCACGTGTGGCATGTTTGGGACTCCCGTCCTTCCCCTGGGAAGGCAGCTCCGGAAGAGGACGTCTTGTAGGCAGAGAGGGAAGTGTGAGAAGGCTGAGAGAGGGTTTGGAGTCGGGAGTTTTGTCTTTATTAAAGAAGGAAGCAGCTGATTCTGAATGTTCCAGGAAGGAGAGAGCAGGTAAGGAGGGAATGCAGTGATTCAACACCCAAGGGCCCAGCCAGAGCAGGTGGGGAAGGCCTCAGGACTGGGCCGTCAGAGCCGCCGGAGGAAACAGCGCCTCTACGTCTGTTTCTCAACGAATGGCCGCTGCATTGCTTAGTGGAGAGGGGAGGTCACCAGCAACAAATCGTATTTGAGTTTGGGGGCCCTGGCCCCAGCATATTCATCCATCTCCCAAGTCCCCAACTGGTTCTGCCCACCTTCCTTTGTCCAGTCCAGAGCTAGTCGCTCAAACTGCTTGAAGTGGAGACTAGTGACCCAACGGGCCACACAGTCAGGACTCGCCACCCCCGAACTGGAGCCTTGGGGTTGGACCCCGGGGTTATTCTCGAGTATCCCTGATGGTGCCTGTGGTTTTCCAGTTTGCTGAGCCCGCCCCACTGGAGGGACTTAGAAGAGGGGTCCGATGCGCACTCATCCGCGAGCACGCCCTTTGGTTTTTAGTGGCCCATCGCCAAGGCACACTGCTCGTAAGTGTTTATTTCAGAGAAAGGAAGGTAAACAGAGCCACCATTCTTGAATCTGCACCTGGTCTGCTCACGGAGTACGCAGGAGGGCGGCATCCGCCAGGTGTGGGTGTGGGTGGCAGGCCCCCGGGGTGTGGGTTGCATGGCTGCATGTGAACTGCTGGATGTCTCTGGGCCCCAGAACTCTGGGGCCTTCCCCTAGTGTCCACTGACCCCTCCCAGCTCCTGCTGGGCTCTGGGGGTCAGGAGGAGGTGGTTCCCTCGCCCCCTCAGCAGAGAAACTGAAGGAAAGGACACTGAATTCAGTACGGTCAACCTTGAGTGCTAAAAAATTCCCAGGATCCATGGTGGTGCTAAACTCTTTCCATGTTTCTAATATTTTTAATCATGGGTTTTGTTTTTAATTGTTCTCATCACAAAAAAGCGGTGTCCTTGTGGAAGGGACCCTGCCCCTTGACCTGCCACTTTCCAGGTGTCCTTCATCACTTGGATGGGACTCTCTGCAGAAATACTCTGTCTTGGCATGCTTCTAGACTGTAAGATTTGGGTTGTTTTGTTTTGTATTTTGTTTATGTTTACATGCATCTTCTTGTATTTCCCTGAAAATTAAATAAAGTTTTTGGTCTTTTTAACTGAACAGAATCAATCACCTCTTAATTCTCCCTGATGCCAGAACCGCCCCCCCACAGCTGAATGGCAAAGTTACCGCCAGTGCAGAATGAACTACAGGATCTGGCCCCAGGACAGTGTGTGTGTGTTGGGGGCGGGCAGGTAAGTTCCCACCACTGCTGGGGAGGCTCCTGCTCCAGCTCCTCCCCCTTTACTGCCTTCACCCTGGCCAAGTTTTCTGGGCTCTGGCACCAGGGCTTTGAAAGAGATGCAGATTTCAGGAGGGGGGGCAAAGACCCACATCCAGCTGGCCTAGCTGGTCCCTCAGTTGGAGTCCCCCCCCCCCCTTTTGCTGGACTCTAGTTCAGGGCTGGGCAGTCCTGATGTGTAGCCCAGGCCAAGGCGGGGCAGCCAGCCAGATGTACTCATCTAGAAAGTTTCTCTAAAAGTCTCTGGCCAGAGGCCTCCCTTTTCTGCCCAGCTGTGGCAGCGATTTGGTAGCGGCCTCAGCATCCACCAATGGGCACTCAGGTGAGGGGCGGGCTAGGGGTGGGCCGGCCCTGTCCCAGAGGAGCTCAGCACCATCCCTGTGGACCTAAGGTTCTGTCATCCTTCCCCTAGCCCCTAGGTGGCTCTGCTGGCCAGGTTTGGGCCAGCTCAGGGGAGATGGAGTAAACCAGGCCTCGGGGATCCTGCTGTTCCTGCCCCAGCAAACACTGGGTCTCCACAGCCCAGGGACCTGAGGCTACTAGATGGCAGTGGTTTCTCCCTTTCAACTTAGAAGGCTCACCTGGCATTCTGGACCCCACTGTCCAAGCAACAGGTCATGCTCTGGCCCCCTACTCCAGGAAGTCCACCCTGATTGTTGACTCCCTTTAACACCTGGCCCTCCAGCACCAACGCCCCCACCTCCTACTCACACATGATGGCCCCCACACACATTGGCGCTCCCCCACCCCCATCCCCCGCCCACCACACTGCACAGCACAGCCCTGGGGCTGGTACAAATCACTTTTATTGACAATCACAGCCACTGGAGTTCACAAAGGAGGCAGCAGCCACCCCCAAACTAACAGACAACGGGACAATGACTTCCTCTCCCCCACCCTCAGGCCAGGCAGCCCCTGCACTTAAGACCTATCCTCGCCTCAGAAATGGGACCCTAGACTAAATGAGGCCACCTCCCCCACCCCCACAGAAGGGGTGGCCGGGGTCAGAACCTGGGGAAGCTACCGCAGAACCACCACTTCCCGCAGGCCCATCCTGGCCCCCGCCGCTGTCCCACCACAACACACGGCAGCACCCCATCACAGCCCCTCACCCAAGAGCCACACAGTCTTCCCTGATCCCCAAACAATCCTTTCAGAGGTGGCAGCCGGGGCAGAGAGCGGCGCTCCGACCCAGCCAGGCCACACAGCTGGTCAGGAGGTGGTCAGGTTCAGAGCCCGTGCTCTGCCGGCCACCCAGAGAAGTGGTCTCCGATGGACGTAAAAGGCGTCCGGAGGGGCAGAGGCCCGGAGGCTGCGGGGAGACTAGGCCCAGACTGCTGTCAGGACAGGGCAGAGGTGAGGGGCAGGGTACCTGGAGCCCAAGAGCAGGTAGGGGCACCCCCTCACCCCAGAACCAGAAGTAACCACCCAGAGGTGCTGGGTCCCAGCCCCTGCCCTCTCACCTTTCCTGGGGGCGGAGGGCCTCAGCACAGGCCCCCCCGCCCCAGCCTTCCCAGGTCCTGGCCTCCGGACCGGTCAGAGCCAACCCTGAGCGCCTGCTGCAGCCGGGGAGGGGCACTCGTGGCTCTGCATGAGCCACCGCCCCAGGGTATCACGGGACCTCAAGTTTGCCTCAATGTAAAATGGACACAGCCTGCCAGGAGGCCCCCCAGTTACGCCCCTTTTTAAGGCGTTCTGACTAACGGCGAGCAGAGCTCCCTGTGGACTTTGGGGCTGGAGTCCGGGAAACGCCGCCCGCTCTCGCCAGGCACCCTGCACACCAGGGCAGCGCTTCCAGGGGCCTGAGGGACGGAACGCACCTCCACCACAACACTCCATATAAATAAATTAATTAAAGTAAAGGAAAAGGCTGGTCTTACTCCGAGAAACTTCCCTGCCGCCAGCCCCGCGCCCTGGCCCCTCCTGGGGACGCGGCAGCAGCTGAGCAGCAGCCAGGCCCAGGCCAGCACTGAGACACAGGAGGTCCGCTGGTCAGAGAGCAGACGCAAACCCGTTCCTGGAGACCCGGACAGACCACACACCCTGCTCTCCAGCCCACGCCGGGGGGCCAGATGATCGGGGCAGAAAGGCCACAGCCAGGACGGGGCCTCCGCATCTCTGCCAGGGCACAGGGCCGGGGACTCGGGACCTGCGGCCGCCTGCAGCCTGCACACTGCCCACCCTGGGCGAGTGAGAGATGGGCACGGTCTGGGGGCCGCCACCTGCCCGGGGGAGGGAGCCGCTGGCCTTTTTCCCCTGCGGCTGCCAGGGCCACCGGGCAGGGAAGAGGGAGAGGGTGGGGTAGGTGAGAGTAAGGCCGCAGCTCAGGGCCCACCCGCCAGGGCTGCTGCGGGGCGGGCTGAGCACCGCACGCAGGTGGTGGGCTGCGGGAGCGAACGGAGGCTGACGTCCAGTCCATACTCCACTAGCCAAGGCACGTGCCCTGGCTCAGGGCCACATCTGCCCAGAGGGAGGGACACACCTTCTAATTCTCATAAAGGTGCCACGTGGGCTAGAGGGACCTCCCAGAAGTCGGTCCCATGTCGGGAAGGATTGGGACAGACCGAGACCCCAGTGTAGCCCCTCAGCATGAAGGGAAGAGCTGGGCGCAGAGAGAGGGGAGCAGACAAAGTGTGGACTCCTTCCCTCCCCTCCGCCAGACAGTCTGCTTCCGCCCCCACCTCCCTGTATGATACCCCTTTGCTCCCCAAACCTGCAGGAGCCTTAGGTTTAATGGAGAAGGAAGAAGAGAAGGGCCCCTGTCGGTGTGCCCCTTGGCTGGAGCTGGGGAGGTGGGCGTGTGGAGGGGGCACCTCGCTGGGCTAGGAGCTTCGGTAGGTCTTGATGATGTCCTTGATGGGGCGGCGGCAGATGGGGCAGCAGGCGTGCAGAGCCTTCTTGAGGCGCAGACCGCAGGCGTAGCAGACGCACATATGGCCGCACGTGTAGATGACCGTGTCCACTGCGTGCTCGTAGCAGATGGTGCACTCGTCACTCCACTGGCCCGTGCCCGGGGTCACTGGTGACTCGGGAAGGCTCACCGGTGAGTTGGGGGCTGTCCCTGGGTGGGAGAGGACCCCAGTCAAGGGGAGGCTGGGTCCAGCCCAGTCCCAGGTTCACAGGGAGAGAGTGCCCTGGCCTCTTGTGCCCCCACCATTGATCAGAGCTGCCTGTCTACTCCAGTGGCCCAGCTTCCTGCACCCGAGAGGAGAGGGATGCGCTCTGGGAAGCTGCGTGGCTGGCCCTCCGCTCTCAGACCAGGGGCCGGGGCATCCATGCAGCAGTAACGGAGGAGGGACACAGACGGAGGGAGAAAGGGGTCCCCAGGTCTTTTAAGGCAGGTCCCACCTGAGCTATCCTTTGGTGTTCCCTGTGTGCTTTAAAAAAAAAAAAAAAAAAAAGTCCTTTGGAGAAAGGTACCCAGGTAGGGGACAGGATGGGATACTCTCCAGAAATCACCACCGAACAAGGGTTCACTGGGCCCATGCCCACTCCCCCAGGGCCCCAGTTCTGGCACAGAGGCAGCACACCTTCCCCGGCCAGGGTCTCGGGACAGGGAGTGTGGTACAGACATAATCAAGCCGGAGGGGCCGGTAGGAGGGGCCGGCCCACTTACCGCCAGCAGAGCTCCCCAGGGGTCCCGAGCTGCAGGTGCTGAGCAAGGGGTCGGAGAGGCGGCTGCCCAGGGCACTGGGCGAGGTTGGCGTGGAGGCGGGGGAGCACGGAAGCGATGGGATGCCCCGCTCGGCAAGGATGGTGGAGCCTGCAGGACAGAAAGGAGGGGAAGCTAGCAACTCAAAGGCCCACTCAGAGAGAGCTCAGGTCTCAGCCCCTCCAGCAGGCTCCCAGGAGAGAACGTGGGTGCCGCAGTCTCACTGGGCTCGGGGCAGGATTCCACGGGCTGGTGAGGCCTCCCGCTCCAGCACTCCACTCCCACCTACAAAGCGGAGGGCCACAGGTCCTCTGGCATTGCCACACCAGCAGTCTCCAAACAAGCCCCTGCCTGGAAGCCCACCTCTGTCCTTCGCCATGCATCCTTCGCCTTCCAGGTTTCCCCACACCAGAGAACAAAGTCACCCGCCTCCCACCCAGAACGACCCTTCCGCCATCACCTCGCTCTCCTGTGCAGGGCCCTGCGCTCTCCATCACTGGCCCCAGACACCTCCCACCTGCTCCTAAGCACTGGCCCCTCTGAAATGCCCTGCACCATCTCCGCACTAGTCTGTGCCATGTTCCCTCCTTCCCACCTTCCCTCACACCTCTCCCTCCCTTCTCCCTCCAGTAAGCCCTCTCTGAGGGCCCACCAGGTACCACACGCTGTGTACACACAAAGCTGGGGAGGAGACCCACAAAGCTCTGGCCCCCAAAAGCTAACTATCCAGAGAGGCTCCTGGGAGCTCACCTCACATCCCCTCCTCCGGGAAGCCTCGGCCCTCCCCTGCCACATTATTCTCTGTAGCACTGACCAGCCATGCGCACCACATGCAAAGGGGCAAACAACCACAGGTGCTGGGGTATTATTTGTCCTTTGGCCAGGAATGCAGCTTTGTTTCTCCAGTTAAACCATGAGCTTCCCGAGAGCAGGAAATCGTATCTGCCTGTAACACAGTGCTTTACATAAAAGAAAGTACTCTATTATTAGTTATCTGTTCTAATCCATTCATTAGTCATTGTTTCTAGGAACATTCATTAGATATCCAGAGGGTTTCTCTCATTAGTGTTAATAGTTTTCAAGTTAATTATTACCTCCTGTAGAAACTCATAACTCCTATTTGCTTTTCTTACCTTATTGCACTGACTAGCATTTTCAGGACAATACTGAAAGGCATCCCTTTCATATCCCTGACCTTAATGAGAATACTTCTAGTGGTTCACCATTAACTAGAAAATTGGTTATCGTTTTGGAGTAAAAAAACCAACAGCCTTCCATTCTCAGTAGTACTTAGGCCTTCAACAAAGCAAAGCATTCCTCTATAAGGTAAACAGTTCCCCTGCACCCACTGTCCCTGATTTGTTTTTCCTTTGGAGTCAGTCAGGGTCCCCTAACGCCAACTTGCTGGTGGAGACAGCCAGTTCTCCAAACAGCTCAGGAACACTCCATTTAGTATATTGAATTCTGAATAATTACACTTCAATGCCCATCTTGGCCACTTACCTCTTGAGACATTTAAGTCCCAATTTTCTTTTCTTAAGCTTCTTCCTCGCTCCAGTCAAGTAAGCCCTTTGGGCAACAAAAGCCTCCCTAGAAAGCTACTTATCTATTATTGGATGGCGCTGAGGCAGGCGCGTGCCTTGCCTTTACATAATTTGCTTCATCTGAGGAGCCTTGTCCTTGGTGAGTCTAACCAAGTATCTGTTTACCTCAGCCTGACTTCAGTCTGCACCTGAGTCCGATTTCTTTTTATTCCATCCTGAGTTTTCACCCCCAGCTTCCTTCCCTCCCAAAGTCTTTCATCTCGCTTGTTTCTTTCCATTCTTTCCTGAGTTACCTTCCCCCAATCCTAACTTCTTGCCATGCCAGCCTCATTTCTTTTTAAATTTATTTCAAATGCCATCTTCCCAGGTCTCTGGAACAGAGTAGGAAGTTCCCACTGGTTGTATCTGGTTTCTCACACAACCCTGCACACAGCCCGCCAACCTTACGGCATAACTCGTGCTCACACACATTATCTTGCCTATGAAGCCTGCTGGGGTGAGGGGTAGGCTGGGGTCTGTAAGGCTCCAAACTTGCCTAAGCAAACTTGCTAAAAAAAATAATAAATCACATGCCCAGGACCTACCCAAGATCTACAGCACAGGCCTGAGGGCCGAATCCGGCCCTCCACCTTGTTTCTGCCCGGCAGCAGCACTGAGCTCTCACTTAACTGTTAAGGAGTGGTTACATTTATACAGTCCTAAAGTTACATTCGGCCCTTTGAAGGCAACCTCGAGGCTGATGTGGCCCCCGGTGAATGTGAGTTTGACACCCCTGCTCTACAGGATGAACCTCTCTGAAAGTACTCAAGAACCTGCACCTGAGTGGGTTCTCCAAGTGAGTCCAATGAAACCACTGCAAGCAATTAGCAGACCAGCACGTGGAAAGCATGGCCACCTGGTCGCTCTGGGGTGAGATTCCATCCTGAGAAGGGATGTCCAACCCACAGCCCACCACGGCTCCGAATGCGGCCCAGCACAACATCGTAAATTTACTGAAAACATCATGAGATTTTTTTTTCTGGTGATTTTTGTGTCGCGATGTACTTAACATGTGGCCCAAGACAACTCTTCTCCCAGTGTGGCCTAGAGATGCCAAAAGATTGGACACCCCTCCTCCAAAGGGATGCTTTGTGAAAAAAGGTTTCTGGTCAAACTGGTTTCAAATAACCACACTGTAACCACCACCGCTCCCTCCCCACAGATTCATACGGCATATTAAAGGCTCTGAGAAGTCCCACTTTCTAAAAACTCAGTATCTCCCAAGCTTTTTTCACCCAAGAGCCCTTTTTCAACAGACAACTAACCCACAGTACACTCCAGGAAACACAGCATATCCACCCCATATCCAAGTCTGTCCACGCAAACCCAGGAAAGCACAGCTCAGACTTCTGCAGCCCCACTTCCTCCAAGCCTTCTGCTCAGGGGTTCCCCACAAGCCCCCCAACCCAAGCACCACCCTACACAGGCACTTGGCTACTGACACAGCAACCTCTTTCTCTTATCTGGACCCACAACCAACTTAAAGACGGAAGCCTTTATTAGCATTTGGAAGAAACAGAAACTGGGCCCCCAAAAGTTAAACGCTGTTGGAAACACTATTTTCTCTTTTGAAGTGGCCACCAGAATGTGTGTACCTGGACTGTTTATATAGCATTTATGTATTTTGGGGAATGTGCGTTAATCAGATTCTGAAAGTCAAACTCAAACATCCAAGCTCCTCTCCCCTCCCCAGGGTGCGTCTGGTGAGATGTGAGGGCCATGGAGTCCCACCCAGAACTCATTTCAGTGTCCGTGGCTCCTTGGCAACTCCTCATGATGGGCTGGCCCCTGTGTTTCCCTACCGATCAGCCCCCTCTTCCAGGAAACACTCGATGCTGGGTGTGTTGATGAGGACAGGGAAGGCCAGCCTCAGGGTGCTGTCGAGGATGGCACCTGGCTGGGGGCACTCACCGAGGAGGCGGATCTGTGTGATGGCCCCATGCAGACCGAAGAGCATCCAGAGCGGCTGCGAGGCGTCCACGCACAGCTGCATGCCCGCAGCAACGCCGTTGTGGCTAAGGTGCAGCTCGCCGTCAGGGTTGACCACCAGGCCCAGGATGTCGCCACTGTGCAGGGGCCCGGGCACGCGGCACACGGCCCAGAACTCCTTGCGGTCCACCAGGGCCTCAGGGCTGAAGGGCAGGTCCGCAGGCCTCAGCGTGCCGGGGTCGCACGTGGTGACGCCAAAGGAGAGCGCGCCGGGTCGTGCACCGCTCGAGCGCGTGACCTTGATGAAGATGGTCTCGGCCACGCGCACCGGGCGGCTGGTGAAGACGAGTGCTCGCTCGTCGCGCCCGTGCTCCAGGCGCGCCACCGTCTGCTCGTCCAGAATCCGGACGTGCGCGCCGGCGCGCAGCGCGTGGAAGCGTAGGTCGCCGTCGAGCTGCGCAGGGAGAGCGCGGCTGTGCTGCGAGTTGAGCGAGTTCTGCGGGATGGGGCAGCCAGGGGCCGGCGTGGCCTCGTCACCTTCCCCCGCCGGCACGTTGAGGTCGCACAGGCTCACGGACAGGCGAGCGTCGTCTGCCTCGCGCCGCAGCGACGGCCTCCGCAAGGCGGTGAAGGAGCGCGGCCGCAGGCAGTCGGGCAGCACCAGCTCGCTGTCTGTGACCAGGGAGGGGAGAGACCGGGCACCGTCAGGCAAGCCACGAAGGAGTCAGCCCCATCGCCTGCGCCCATCCTCCAACTAGCCTTACAAAAAACATGGACTTTTAAAGGCATTGAAAATGCGTAGGACCGAGGCGCAAATGGGCAACCAAAGTTGCGCAGAACATCTACTTGCTTAAGCAAAGGATTAAGGCTAGAAGGAAAGGCACCAAAATTGAAACCAAGGGTCTTGAATCCTAGCTCTAGAAATCACCTCTCTCTACAGGCCTCCGTAGACCTAGCCTCTCCCCTCAACCCGGAGGCAGCAGAAGACAATAGCCAGGGCCTGACTAATGGTCACAAGGTCTGCACCTCTGACAGGCTAAAGATAACATCTCGACCTAAGTTCTGTTTTAGCTCCCGAGCCCTAAGGTGGAAACACCTCCTGGCTACTTTTCCATGAAACCAGACACAGGGATGCCAGATGCCAGAGCCAACCTCAAAGCCATTGACCTCAACACTGTTGTCAAGACCTGAAGGAAGGATTTATTGCCTTTACCTCACTTTTGACCAATCAGCTTCCAGCACAACCTGGAACAACCCCCACCCCACCCCCACCCTCCACCACCAAGACACACGCAAGCCTTGACTTGTGATTTTGCCCTATACAATCTGCACCGTAGACTCCACTGGGGAGCTGGGTCTTTAGAGAATTACTGATTCACTATTAAACTTTTTCTTTCTATACTATGAACTCCTGCTCATGCATTTCTTTTGGGCCACTGCGCACGGAGGGACTCGAATACGGGGGTCCTGGTTAAAAAAAGAAATTAGAAAACATGATGGCTTCTAAATGGTACGCTTATAAAAGATATTTTTACAATTTAACTCCTGTGGCCCTCTCTCTTTATCCTCGGCGACGAGAACAGTCTGAGCCCTTCGCAGGCAAGCAGTAAATAAACGTGTTGAACGCACTGCCGACAGCCCTCCAACTCCTCTTTGCATAAATTGTCTCATTTTGTCCCAGCAATTACCTTTTGAAGTTACTGTTGCCACATAAGGACACTGCAGCTGAGAGAAATTGAGCAAATTTATCCAAGCTATCCTTTTTGAAAGTGACTTAATAGGAAATCAAAACCTATCTCTTTTTAATCATACAAGCCATACAGAGTGCATTTTGTAGAAAAGACAGTTCAACAAGAAGGAAAAATAATTGCCTGTCAACCTGCCATCCAGAGAAAAATACTATGAATATTTGGGTGCATAACCTTGCCGTCTTGTTTTTTTTAAATATAATTTTTGCTTACATTTTTAAGGCAAAAATTGAATCATGCTACATAAACACCTGTAGTTTTTAACCTTGTATGGGTATCAAATCCCTTTGAAAATGTGATAACTCTGACCTATCTCCTCCATAGAAAAATGCACATTCTCCCTAGATTTTGTGGGTAATTTTAGAGCATCTGTGAATCACATAAAGCCATCCACAGGCATAGACTCCAGACTAAGAACACTGCTATAAAGATTTCCTTTTCAAAGCTATCTTTTCTGCTCACTATGTCCTGAATACTTTTTCATGCCAATGACTATGTTTCTAACACTGCATATATACATACATATATATATATACATATATATAGTTTTTAATCCTCACCCAAAGATGTGTTTTTATTGCTTTTAGAGGGAGAGGAAGGGAAGGAAGGGGAGAGAGAGAGAAAGGGAAACATCGATGTGAGAAACATCAATCCGTTGCCTCCAGTACAAGCCCGGACTGGGGATCGAACCCACAACTGTTTTTGGGATACGGGCAGACCCTCCAGCCAACTGAACCACCCGGCCAGGGCCAACACCGTATTTCTTTAATGGCTGCGTCACACCCAGCTGTGTGAAGGCCTATGGTTTATAGTAAAAGTCGTTGTGCACGATGCATCCTGCCTGCATTTCGTCCTTAAAGCTTCCCGTGGAGGTGTCCCCACGGCTCAGATGAAGCTCACAGGCATTGTGTGACAGGGGCCAAGTGGCACATCCAGGACCGAGCAAGGTCTGTCCGACTCCCAATGCCAGTCTTCACTTCAGGCCCTACTTTTTATCGAACCCCTTCAAGTGTGGGAGTCCCCAGATCTGGCTAATGCCACCATGGGCCACGTCACGGGCCAGCCCCTCGCAGGGAGTCTCTTCTCTGAGCCTCCCCAGGGGAGGAGTCATGCTGTTTATCCAGGAACTCGGTACGGATGGCTGGGGTGCTCGGTGTGACAGCAGGAGTTGGGGGCTGGCCTGGTATGGCCAGCGGAGGCCAGGACCGAGCTCCAGCTGCACCTAGAGACCGTCTCTGAGGCCTCCCTGTTTTGTCCTCTCCCACCCAGCCCCCTGCCCCTTCCAGGCACAGTGGGGTTTGGGCTCAAGCAAGGAGAGGCTGCCCGACCCTCCCCTGAGCGCGTTTCTCTGGAGAAGCCTCCTGGGGCCTGGCTGGCTGGGATTTCCCAGCATCGTGCTTGGCAAGGAGAAGGGAGCCGACCGGAAAACGCGATTATTCCAGGGAATTGACCCTGTGACAGCGAAGGTGCAGACAGGCTAGGGGGCTGTGGGGAGGCAGCGGCGAGGGGGGCCTGAGCAGGAGGGGGAGGCACAGGAGACAAAGTGGGGACCTGGGGAAGGCTGTGGGCTGGCCTGGACCACGGGGAACACGCCCTGCTCCCCAACCCCTCGGGGATTCCAGACGGTGGCCTTGAAGGCTCCAGAGGGTTGGGGACAGGCAGGGGAAGGAACAGGGGCAGTGGAGTGAGGAGGAACAAGGGCTCAGAGATGCCCGGCCAGGGCCTACGGGAACAAGGCTGTCGGGGGGCCCACACACAGGGGCACCCCCGCACTCCTCTCCCCACCCCCCCCCTCAGGACAATCAGTCGGAGCCCACGGAGTGGGGCAGACCCTCAAAACAGAGTCCGAGTGAGCCTGGATGTGCGTTATCCTGGTCTCTGCCCCTTCTACCTGAACGTGGGGTCCTCTTCCACGTGAATATGCCCACTGCTGGGTGCTCACTACCTCCCAGGCAACCTGTGCCGTTGCTGAGCTCCTCCGACTTTTAAAAAGTATTTCCTTCTCTTAAAACTAAAATACACCTCCCCGTATCTATGCCCACTGCTTTAGCCCCGTACTGAACACAGCTCGCTTCAGGGAGGACTCAGAATCCTCACACAGCCTTCCCACCTGTTAGACAATGAACAGAGCCGGACTCCAGACTCCGGAGGTGCCCTGACAGCTCAAGGCAGTGTGGCCATCACCTCCCTTGACAAATGCACTATACTTCTAATAACACAACCGAAGAGTAGTTCAGGTTTTTTAGTAACCAGTCTCCATATACTGGGAAGCAAGGTAGGGGCATAAGTGCAACAACTTTGAAGTCAGCAGCTTGGGTTCAAATCCTGGCTGTGCCATTTCCTAGCTGTCCAACCTTGGATAAATAGTTTAACCTCTCTGGGCCCCTCTTCTTCAGCAGCGAGACCAGCATTTACTGACTGGTACAAAAGTCTGTGTTATACTCCCCTGGGAAGGGATGCTGCAAAGATGAGTGAATAAGGCCCACAGGGCACCTAGTAGGCACCTGGCATACAGTGATCACTGGGTTAAAATGAGCTGCTGTTATTATCTTTTACATGCCAGGCAGCTGAGAAGAAAGTACATGGGCTTTGGGGCGAGGCAGGATGGGTTTCAGTGTCCGATCCAGCGCTTGGCAGGTGGCCTGTGGGTGAGCAGCCTCCCTCCTCGGACCGCTCACGGAGAGAACAGACATGATGATACCTGCCTTTCAGTTTGTCGCAGGGGTCAGAGGTAGCGTGGGAAGCCCCTGATGTCTAGGTACTGGAAAATTTCAGGTATTAGTGTTGGCTCAGGTCGAGTTTTCCAACCAAAGTCAGGTCCGCTTGCACTGAGGCAAAGAACTTTTTGCACCCAAATGCCGGCCTTTATAGCAGTCACCGTGGCACCCAAGACAAAAATCACTGAATGACATCACCGACTAAAGACCAGGAAGGAGAACCTACTGGTGGAGATTTAAGGAGAAAGAAGAAAAGGAAGGAGAAATGGGGCTGCGGGGGGGGGGGGGTAGAAAGAAAGGAGAAGAGGCAGAAAAATGTTGGCTTTGCTTGAAAAACTGCAGGAGTCAGGAGATGCTGGGAAACAGCTAAAAACAGAATCCCTGGGGCCAGTGCCCAGCCAGACCATGTCTTCTCTCCCATCCCCTCCACCTCCTGAGGTCAGGAGCAGCTGCAGGCCACCAGCAAGCTCCAAAATAACCACCCATCGGTGTGCCCAGCTGCGCCAGGGCCCTGAAATAGATGAAACTTGAGACCCAGGAGCGGGTCAGAGCCCCCTCCAAAGGAACGGCCAGGGTCACAGCTCTGTGAGCTGAAATCAAGTGAGAGGTCAGGGAAGGGTCCCCACTCCCAAAGCTGGGGGAGAACACCATGGGGCCGACTGAGCCCTGGGAGACAGCATGGAAAAACCAGACAGGCAACCTATAACCCCAAGCAGTGGGATGGCCCCACATTTGGAAGCAACAAGTTATGTAATCTGTGCCTGGGGCACTGGGCTGCCTACTTCGGAGGTTTTATGATGGGGGGAGGGGTGGCAGGAGGCCGTGGGAGAAGCTGCTAAGATGGCCCCCCTCTCTGTCCCCTTTCTCAGGAAGGCATTTGCTCGTCTTCAGCTCCTGCCTAATCTGGTGCCTGGAGGCGGCTCTGCAGATCCCCCGGGCAGGGCAGAAACAACCTGCTCCTGCAAAGGGCAGGGAGGCCTGGGCCAGGGGTTTCCTCCCCTCAGGAGGGCACCCAGGGCACCCACGTACTGACCCACAGCGCGCCTGACCCTGGGCAGGGGTCAGGGAGAGCACCGACAGCCCTTAGATGGTCTGAAGCATGGGGGCATGAAAATACTTGAATATAATTTCATTACGAAAATTCTTAGATCCTCGGGTTAGACGGGGCCTTAAAGGAGGAAATCTATTTCCCTCTGCCAAATTCTCA